GATTCGAACATCAGGTTTGGAAAGTTTTTATTATATGAATATATAGTGCCGGACAACTACAATATTCAAAATATATTATATATACACAGGATTTTCCAAAATGCACGTAGATAGCTGGTGGGATTCTTAATTAGAACATGGAGGAACCCCCCAAACCTCTGTGTATATATATATATATAGCGATGTACATACGATTCGAACATCAGGTTTGGAAAGTTTTTATTATATGAATATATAGTGCCGGACAACTACAATATTCAAAATATATTATATATACACAGGATTTCCCAAAATGCACGTAGATAGCTGGTGGGATTCTTACTTAGAACATGGAGGAACCCCCAAAACCTCTGTGTATATATATAGCGATGTACATACGATTCGAACATCAGGTTTGGAAAGTTTTTATTATATGAATATATAGTGCCGGACAACTACAATATTCAAAATATATTATATATACACAGGATTTTCCAAAATGCGCGTAGATAGCTGGTGGGATTCTTACTTAGAACACGGAGGAACCCCCAAAACCTCTATATATCGATGTACATACGATTCGAACATCAGGTTTGGAAAGTTTTATTATATGAATATATAGTGCCGGACAACTACAATATTCAAAATATATTATATATACACAGGATTTTCCAAAATGCACGTAGATAGCTGGTGGGATTCTTACTTAGAACATGGAGGAACCCCCAAAACCTCTGTGTATATATATATATATAGCGATGTACATACGATTCGAACATCAGGTTTGGAAAGTTTTTATTATATGAATATATAGTGCCGGACAACTACAATATTCAAAATATATTATATATACACAGGATTTTCCAAAATGCACGTAGATAGCTGGTGGGATTCTTACTTAGAACATGGAGGAACCCCCAAAACCTCTGTGTATATATATATATAGCGATGTACATACGATTCGAACATCAGGTTTGGAAAGTTTTTATTATATGAATATATAGTGCCGGACAACTACAATATTCAAAATATATTATATATACACAGGATTTTCCAAAATGCACGTAGATAGCTGGTGGGATTCTTACTTAGAACATGGAGGAACCCCCAAAACCTCTGTGTATATATATATAGCGATGTACATACGATTCGAACATCAGGTTTGGAAAGTTTTTATTATATGAATATATAGTGCCGGACAACTACAATATTCAAAATATATTATATATACACAGGATTTTCCAAAATGCACGTAGATAGCTGGTGGGATTCTTACTTAGAACATGGAGGAACCCCCAAAACCTCTGTGTATATATATATATAGCGATGTACATACGATTCGAACATCAGGTTTGGAAAGTTTTTATTATATGAATATATAGTGCCGGACAACTACAATATTCAAAATATATTATATATACACAGGATTTTCCAAAATGCACGTAGATAGCTGGTGGGATTCTTACTTAGAACATGGAGGAACCCCCAAAACCTCTGTGTATATATATATATAGCGATGTACATACGATTCGAACATCAGGTTTGGAAAGTTTTTATTATATGAATATATAGTGCCGGACAACTACAATATTCAAAATATATTATATATACACAGGATTTTCCAAAATGCACGTAGATAGCTGGTGGGATTCTTACTTAGAACATGGAGGAACCCCCAAAACCTCTGTGTATATATATATATAGCGATGTACATACGATTCGAACATCAGGTTTGGAAAGTTTTTATTATATGAATATATAGTGCCGGACAACTACAATATTCAAAATATATTATATATACACAGGATTTTCCAAAATGCACGTAGATAGCTGGTGGGATTCTTACTTAGAACATGGAGGAACCCCCAAAACCTCTGTGTATATATATATATAGCGATGTACATACGATTCGAACATCAGGTTTGGAAAGTTTTTATTATATGAATATATAGTGCCGGACAACTACAATATTAAAAATATATTATTATATATACACAGGATTTTCCAAAAATGCACGTAGATAGCTGGGGGGATTCTTACTTAGAACACGGGGGAACCCCCAAAACCTCTACTTAGAACATATATGAACATATATGTTCTAAGTAGTGGTCCAGGATCTCTACTTAGAACACGTTTTGGAATTCCAAAACCAATGTTCTAAGTAGTTGTCCGGCGCTATATATACATAACCAACTATAGCAAGTACACTAAAAATGGAAGTAACATGATTTAACAATGGTTGGAATTAACGACTACATAAGAAAGTTGATTTAGTGGCATAGGTTTTGATATTTTACGGGATCTAAAACCAACGAGAATCAAAAGCACTTGCGATGTGGACTAATCCATTAATTAGGGTTTGGTCACACAACCAGCAAAAACTAGGAATTGTGCATGTTGTAATGGCCAATACGTCCCTTCGACTGTTTGTTTGGTTGGTTTGTGGCTTTGTTTTCTTTGTGTTTTGATTGCATTTGAAATCATGCATTCACACGGCATGGATTTCATGTTGTATTATTTATTGTACTAGCAACTTCATACTTTTGTTCTGGTGGGAGATGGCTCCCAATCTATGGGACCCCAATATGAAAAGATCCAATGCCAAATGCCAACTTGTTTTTTTTTCGCGGAGATATTTCATATTAGGATGAAGGGCTTCTATGCGTGTATATATATATATATATTGACATGTTCATTTACACACCTCTAATTACACACTATTGTTTGATCGTGGATGATCAGACTCCAGTTCCAAACCCAAGCAGCATTGGCAGGCAAGCTGAAGGTTGACTGCCCCAAAGCAATTGCGTGCACTTGCCACACCGTCGCGTGGTGTGCAATTGCTGGATTGGCTGTGTTGTCGCCCATTGCTCTTCTTGACCCTCAAACATGGATGGTTTAGGACTGCACATAGTTTCCTATTATGGCTACCCCCAATTCATCATGTTCAGTACAAACATGTAAATGAAAAATCCTTTAGCTGACCCCCAGTCATCATCATCCACTTATTTTTTCCGGATGTTCCGTGAATTACACCATACAGCTAGTGCTGGTAACCCCACATGGATTGCTTGGGTTTAGTTCTTCCAATGAAAACATGGAGATTTACAATGTTTTTTTTTCCAAGAAAAAATGGGATTTAATGATTTACTTTGATTTTACCAACAAAACATGGAAGTTAACTTGATTTGACCAACGAACAATGTGGATTTCATAGCTGGTCTAACTGATTTATGCTAGCTAAGCTGGTCTAAACAGCCCATGAACTATATTCTAGACCATAAATCATAATCAAACCAATTATACACCAAACTAGCTCATTCGTTAATTACGGGGTACCACCTTGCCATAAACTATATCATGAACGGAAATTGACGGAAGAGTTCTTTTTGGATATGGTGCTGGTGGATAAACCGTCGATTGGGGATGAGTGTGACATCCCGTTAGGAGGTCCCGTCCGGTATCAACCGTGGCAAGCTATATAAACAAAGCCTAGACAAGTGGTGTTTGAATGGGACAAGAATATACAATAACTGGTTGGTGGTTTGGAACATTTTTCCATATATTGGGAATAATAACCCCAACTGACGAACTCATATTTTTCAGAGGGTTGAAACCACCAACCAGATAATATGCTATGATATACATAACTTGATGACTTATCATTGCTATGTTTGAGTACTAGAGGGCATACCCAAGTTCAAAAACAGAATTGGAATTTTGGGGATAAACATTCGCCGTTTACAGACCACATCACCACAGCGGCTGAAATTCCATCCATGGCAAATTTATATCAGTGAAGACTTGTGACGGGAACTTCCAAAAGCGATTTCTTTGGTATAAAATGATGCAAAATGGCTACACGGTGTTGTAAACTAGTGGTGTTCTGTATGTGAAGCAACCACAGTTGTCTTATGTTGTCTTACCAGATTGGCATGGATCGCAGGCACCTGATGATGGAACTTTTCTGGATCGCAATCGGAAACTCCCACCATCTCTAAACCAAAATGTTCAGCAATGACTGGGTCCTTCCCAGTCATGAGGAGTTTGATTTCAACGAAGGTTTTTCAACGACAACGACCAGGTTTTTTCTCAGAAAATCAGGAGTTGTTGAAAGTTGTTGTTTCTTCATGATCCAGCAATCACTTGGACCTTAGCACGTCTCATAGGTTTTTTTCTTAAGGACCTTTCATCTTGTAGCACCATCTCCCAGCAGATGGATCAGGTGACGGTTACCCTCTGGAAATGGCTTCCATTTGCCAAACGTTGATTTAGCGAAGTGAAAAATGGGTGGATCTTGCCATGGCCTTTTTTTTAATTTACCAGAGGGTAGTAGAAAGATGACGGATCACATCACAAGGATCACATCAGATTCTGCTGGGAAATGTATAGATGTCCCTTAAATTCCCACTGGTTGGTTGATGATTTTGGAGGGCTTAGTGTCAGGTTAGAGGTTATAGAAACTACCCCTTTAACAACAGCTTTCTATGTTGATATATAGATATATATATATATATTGATATATGGGATTAACCAGCTCCCGGCCCCTCTTAATTTTTACCAAAATATAGGACCATGGTCAAATTGATTGGCGCCGTGCTTCATCATCCCAGAGAATCCATTTTGTGCTGGAATAATTGACCAACCAGTTGACCCCTAAAGTCATTTACCCTCTGGTAGATTAACATGTTGACCCTGAAAACAATCACTTTCTATTGGAAACTAGTCTTCCAACCCCCATCTGCCAGGGTCGTCATGTTAATTTACTGGAGGGTAAAATAATCCCAACTGGTTGGTAGCCTCTGGTAATTTGTTACATAGCGAACTGGAAAGATCCATCATGTTTCATGGGAAAATGCACGAACTAAATGGTGATTTTTCCAATAGTTATGTTGACAAATTACCAGAGGGTAAATATTCCAGCACCATGGATCCTTTTTTCGGGCATGTTTGCTGGGAAAATCCCATCGTTAAATTGGTAGATGTTCCAAGCGTGTTTGACACTGATTTTTTTCGCCTAGGCATGGACTGTCAAGGCCTATTGCTCCTTGGATCCGAAGGTTCTGTGAGATGAACGTGGTGTTTCTGAGTGGGAAAACCATTGGTTTCATCATTAAACACGTTCAGTTGGTGGTGACTGGAACCATGGATTTTTCCTGGTTAATCTATGGTTAATCTATGGTTAATAATCGTTAATCATTGGAATACCAATATATCTGGTTGGTGGTTTGGAACATGAATGGATTATTTGTCCATTCAGTTGGGAATGTCATGTCATCCCAACTGACGAACTCACTCCATGGTTTTTCAGAGGGGTAGGGCGAAAACCACCAGCCAGAACATCATTGAACGGGGATATCATGATATCATGGAAGATGATGCTTGGTGAATGATACCCTCTGGTAAACTAACATAGCTATGGAAAATCACCATTTTTCATGGGAAAATCCATTATAAATGGGCATTTTCAATAGCTATGTTAAATTACCAGAGGGTAATTCAGCCAAATTTTGGGAGCGAATCTTTGTTTTGAGGCGCTGGCATGTCAAGTCTTCTTGGCTACCCCCCCATTGGATGGTGAATCTGGCTGAATCTGGGTAATTTTTGACCCATACCCATATGGGTTTGCTTAAAAATAGATGAACATAGGCTATCCTTACTAACATACTCATAGAATCTCATAGATGTCCTTGCCCCATTTGGCATAAAGACCGGTGCAGCATACGATATTGGATTGTATGTTACAGAATCATGTGTACATAGTACTAAGGTGAAGCTAAAGTCTGTGATATATACCTATATGAATCTGATATATTGGTATATATATATATATCAGATAATATCAGATATGCCTTTGATGTGTACTTAGCAAAGATATTAATTGGATGTGTCTGAGGTGATTTGTTCCAGGTGGCCAAAGATCAACGGCAGCCACTGAGTGTTTTTTTGATATGGTTAAATCATGGTAAAACATATGTGAAATCCATGTGTGTTACATTCCCAAGCAACTCGATGGGTAGTTTAGTGCCTTTACTTTTTTGCTATTAATGGAAAATAAGCAAGCAACCAGCAAAATATGTTTTATGTTTTGCGGACTACCAGAGATTGGCCATGTTGTTCACCTGTTACTTATTCTTATTCTTTGCCATTGTGGCGATCGGGGTGCCGTTGAGGTAACAATGTGCCTCTCTTCGAGCCGCAAGGTGGCTTCTGCGAAGGCCCAAAAAACTGTGGGAGCTGATCCACAGGATGGTGCCTCTACTGTGGATGGGCCAGCGAAATCCGACCGAATCACCAGTTGAAAACGGTGGTACTTGGTGGCTCATCCCACGAATCGTAAGTGGGTTAGTTCACCCCAATTATAAGTGGATTAACCCTACTTATCCCATTCATAACTGGGGTTATAACCCACTTACTAAGTGGGATGAGCCACCAAGTAAACATCCCATTATGGATGGGTTTCAAGTATCCTTTTGGTGGTGCAGGATTTCGCAACCATCCACAGTAATGTTGTCTGACCAATAGTGATATCTTGTCAATAGTAGAAACATTTTTCCGCAACTCCAATTTTTTCTCCAATACTAAAAATCAATTAGCTCTATTTACTTTTAGTATTGCCAAAAGAGTCATGTTCAGACCTTGTCCAGAGGGCATGGCCAATAGTGGACCCAACATGGCAATAGTGGAAACTTTTTTCCCAACTCCAATTTTTTCTCCAATACTAAAAGTCAATTAGCTCCATTTACTTTTAGTGTTGCCAAAAGAGTCAAGTAAAGCAAATCCTTTTCAAAGCAGCCTTCACTTTTGATTAGCAAAAGCTTAGATTCCAGAAATCTGATCCAATTACCAAACAGCTGATTTCCTTATAAAACCCTTATTAAAAAAGCAAGAAAACAGGTCCACAAAGGGTACCCCCTTTGCAAGCCCCAGAATAGCAATAACAAACCTGCACCAGGCATGGCAATAGTGGAAACTTTTTTCCGCAACTCCAATTTTGTTGTCCTCCTTCTCCTTCTCCTTCTTCTCCTTCTCCTCCTCCTCGTCCTCCTCCTTCGCCTCCACCACCTCTGCCCCCACTTCCATGTCCACTTCCGCCTTGCCAACTCTTCGCCAATCTCTCAGAAACCCAACCAAATCCATTCAGAATCTATCAGAAACCCAACAAAACCATGGAGAATCTATCAGATACATATCATGATCCCAGCTATAGATTCCCAAAAATTATTATAGGAAGGTTGACCCCCCCTTAAAAAAAAATGGGGGGGGTAATTACTATTAGGCAGCCAACATTAGTGATGTTTGTTGGTTTAGAACCCATTAGAACCCCATCTAGATCTATAACTATAAGATTATAAGTATCATTGATACACTATGTTATTATAGTTATAAACCAAATTAGCTAACTATGGATCCATGGTCTAACAACTTGGATGACTGGGGGTACCTGCATTTCTGCTTTCGCAAAGAAACAATCAGCGGGAATAGAGGGTTTTTTTGCAATCAACATTGGAATTACCCTCTGGGTCCCTCTGGTAATTTAACATAACTATTAAACATAGCAATTTATAGTTGATTTTCCCATTAAAAATTGTGATTTTCCATGGCTATGTTAATTTACCAGAGGGTACTACGATCATATGGGATGGGATGTCAAGCGAATTGGGAACTATTGATAATGTGTCACCATGTTTGATTTTGTTTTTTCCGAAGTGGTTTTGAGTTTGAAAGTCGGGGCACCCACAAACAAAACAAGTATATGGTTTCGAAATAGTTTTCTCATATATGTTCCTTATTGAATTAGCCATGCCATGGCCTTTTTTTCAACATTTTCAGCCGCACATTTCCCGGGACTCGACTCTCGTTCGCTCAGTCAGGCGATGGCGGCAAGAGGATGTTGCAGGCCATTTGCCAGGCGATTCTCCGGTGGCTGGGGATGCTGAAGCTGGGAATCCATAATGTCATCCCCGGATTAATAAACCAATAGTGGTTAATAGTGGTTAATAGTGGTTAATAAACCATAGATCCATGGTTTATGAAAATTAGGGGGAATACCACCCCAATAGTCATGATTTGATACTTTTTTATGGTACCTTCCCAATTAAACAGCCGTAAACGGGGTTTATTAATCCAGGGTTGACATTACCCATATACTGATAGGTATAGGACAGAGAGATTCGACCAGATGCGACCACCGACTTCTGCTGGCCCAACCTTTGTCAGGCGACGCTATGTAAGCCATCATACAAGCAGCCACCGAGTGATCGGGACACCGGGGTGGGAGCCATTCCGGGTTGTGCGCTGGATATGGCTCACTGCCTCATGCATTTCGCCAAGGCTGTCAGAAAGCGACTCCGCAAATCGTTCCGCAAGGTCATGGCCAGGTGGATAACGGAACATTGGAAAATGCCCAATCAGTCGCGAATATCCTGGATCGTCTCTTCTTAAGGTGATTTGGCTTATTTTCCCAATGGGAATGTACTGCTTAGGGAATCGATTGAGGGAATATGTTTTATATTTGTTTAATTTATAGGTAATAATTAGAACATCACCAGTATGAAGTATGAACATATATGAAAAAAGGATCTGGCAATGAACAATGGGAAAATCTCCAAAACAACAGAAAGCTTCTGGTGAAGAATCGTGATTCAATCATGAATCATGGAACATGATGCATCAAATAGTGGAACATTATCTGGTTGGTGGTTTGGATCATGAATTTTATTTTTCCTTTCAGTTGGGAATCATCATCCCAACTAACGAACCCATATTCTTTCAGAGGGGTAGGCTCAACCACCAACCAGTTATGCATCAAACAAGAAACCTTGACTGGATTCAACATTTATAGATACTGTCTGGGGCCTACAGCGATTTACCAACAAAATCGGGAATAGAACTAGGAAAAAAAGGCTAGGATATGAGTAGGTAAACTGCTGATATAGCTGATTTCACCATTACTCATGGGTTTCAAGTTTCAACATGGTTTAACCATCAACAATAGGAATTTAATATGTACACACTGGGATATAGAAGCAACATGAACCAACCACAACTTGTTTTGGTCATTAATGGGTAGAATTGTGGGATTTAAGTTCCATTTATAGGTGATTTAGGTGATTTTCCCAAGAACATGAGCACTAGCCGTGGGAACTCGTTTTTTTGGGTGATCATAAATATGGTATAATCCATGAATATCATTGATGGTAATTAAATAGCAATACGGGAAAAACAACTGGAAACTGGTGATTAGTAAGCATGAACAATCAATAAACATTGGAATGCAACCAGGGAAAAGTTGGGTATGCAACCTGGGTAAACAGACAAATTCAATCACTATATATATATATATTTGAAAGAAATCGTCAAACAATTGCAAAAACTGCGATAAACTCCAGAAATGATGATTGCTAAAAAAACATGTAAACCTGGTGAAACTTTGATGAATACCTTTTGTACTCGTACTTTTTCATCTTTTGCCATAAATGATCAACGGGGATACTAATACGCAGCGACCTGGTCGGATGCCGGTTGTATCCAACGGTGGTAAATCCAATCCTTATTGTTAATTCACATTTGAAATAATGAACATTTTCCATGGTTATATCAATGGTCATTTCATGGGGATATCCCCTTACATAGGCCTGAAAAATAGGCCAAACATATATGGAATCGGTACCTCCAATCAATTTAGGATCCTGGAATGGCCATTGATTATAGTTGTGTCCCCATTTTACATTCTCAAGTCCAAGATGTTTACCCTCTGGTAAACGTTAACAAAAAACGAATTGGAAAGATCCACCATTTTTAATGGGAAAATCCACTATTTCTATGGCCATTTTCCAGTTCGCTATGTTTGTTTACCAGAGGGTACATTGGTTGATTTTATTTTTGCATTGTTGAATTCAAGGTGAATTCTCACTTCTCATAGTTCAACTACCGCATTTTACTCACTGATTTCTCACCACGGAGTCCATGCGAAAAAAAAATCCAGTTTTACAGAGTTAAATCCCAGCGTTGTGGTGAAGTTTACTGTACATTACTGGTTTTTGTGGTGACCGGAACATGATTTTTCCATTGGTTAATCTATGGTTAATCTATGGTTAATAATGGTTAATAATGGTTAATAATGGTTAATCTATGGTTAATCTATGGTTAATAATGGTTAATAATGGTTAATAATGGTTAATAATGGTTAATAATGGTTAATAATGGTTAATCTATTGTTAATCTATGGTTAATATTGGTTAGTAATGGTTAATAACGGTTAATAATGGTTAATAATGGTTAATAATGGTTAATCTATGGTTAATCTATGGTTAATAATGGTTAATAATGGTTAATAATTGGAATACCAATATAACTGCTTAGTGGTGACTGGAACCATGTTTTTTTTTTTTAATGACTTTCCATTCAGTTGGGAAGATAATCCCAACTGACTCGTATTTTTCAGAGGGGTTGAAGCCACCAAGCAGATTAAATTTGACAAAAACAAGATTCAACATGGCTAAATCCACATCTAGCATCGTTAAATCCCTGCCTTCCATGCTGAAAATATATCTGTTTTTTGGTTGGTTTCTCCTCCATTCAACCGCAGATCGTGCCTTGCTCCACGGGAGCGGATGAGAAGTGCAAGAGCTGCAAGGGCATCCGTGATCGTCAGGCGGGATGGTATTCCCCAGTGCTCCATGTGTAGTATATTTACCTACATTTGGTGTACTACCAAGTCTTAAACAAACCCATGATATTGGTGTTTGTATTATACATATACATATATATATATATATCTGGGTAAATTATAACGACCTCACTGTTTTCCCGAACCCTGGAATCATGGTTAGTTTGTGGGAAATCATCCCCAAATGGCCGAACTATTCAGGTTAGTGAAATATTATAATTTACCCAGATTGATATGGGATATTACTGAAATATTACTTTAGTGGGAAATTATTGGGATATTATCCTGTGGTCATGCCTGGTTATTTAACATAGCGAACTGGAAAATCCCTTATAAATGGAGGTTTAGTTCGCTGGGAAATTCATCTGTAAATGGGCCATTTTCCATAGCTATGTTACCCTCTGGTAAACTAACAGTTTGCTATTGAAAATGGCCATAGAAATAGTGAGTTTTCCCATTAAAAATGGTGGATCTTTCCATAGTTATGTAAACGTTTACCAGAGGGTAAATAACCAGAGGATTACTGAAACATCATGGTTTATACCCTCCGGTCAGCAAACATGGCTGGGCAATCCCCTATAACCATGGCTGGAGGTAGAAATTGCTGGTCAAAGCATCGAACGAAAGGGTGGATTTTTTTCCACCAAGAGGCTAAATGGGTTACAGGTTTGCGCACACAAATGGACTAGTGTAAGTAGGGTTAGACCAATTACCCTCTGGTAAACGTTTACATAACGAACTGGAAAGATCCACCATTTTATAGCTCGGAAAATCCACTATTTCTATGGTCATTTTCCAGTTCGCTATTTTGACATAACCAGAGGGTATAGACCAATTATAACTGAGAACTGAGCCACCAAGCAGTAAGAGTCAGTAGGATGAAGCACCAAGTTAACATAGCAGGGTTAACATAAAAATTCACCAAGCAGTAAGGTCGTTTGGTTGATGAATTTGTTGGATCTATATGGGTATGGATCAATACCTATACATACCATTTTTAGTGGGATGAACATCCATAAATCCCAGCTATTTTGATGTGAACTACAGATCCAGTGACTTGGAGATGTGGGTAAATTTGATCACGACCGAACCCTGTTTTCCCGAAGCCTGGAATAGTGGTTAGTTTGCGGGAAATCATCCCCAAATGGCCGAACTATTCAGGTTATAACGGTTATATAGTGAAATATTGTAATTTACCCAGATATATATAGAAACTTTTCAGACTGAAGCCAGCATAGGTTGAATAGCTTTCAAGTTGATTTGACATAGTGTCACTAACCCATCTAGATCTGTCACTACTAAACTGCTGAAAAAAATCCCCTGGATTCCCATCAGATTTTTTGCCCGTTTCAGCCTCCACGGACTCTACGGTGCCAGGCTGAGGATCATTGTGCCACTTGCAACCCGGGATACTACATCTCTGGCACTGGATGCAAGGTGGCCAGCAACTTTGAGGGGAGGATGGTTTGATGCGGAGCATTGCGGAGCATCCGGGGATAAAAGAATTAGAACTTGATATGGCTATGGATCAATACCTATTAATACCATTTTTAGGGGAATGAACATCCATAAATCCCAGCTATTTTGATGTGAACTACAGGGGTACAAGGTTTTGACACACTGCCATATAACTTGGCTATTTGCTGCGTGTATGGTGGATTTTCACAACTTCGAGGTCATAAATCACCATAACTGGGCACCACAAGGAAACCTTTCACTCTTTGGCGCTGGGTGATGTATCCCTACAGCGCTGATATCCCCATGTTCACCATTTTGCCATGGTTCAATCCCAATTCTTCACCATTTTTGATGGTTACCCTCTGGTAATTCAACATCGCGAACTGGAACATTGCCCAGTTTTAATTGATTTGCCTCTTAAACATGGTGATGTTCAATAGTTTTTTGTATGTTTACCAGAGGGTATAATCCCAGTATTTATATTGTTGAACTATGTTACCAATAGTTTTTTGGGTTTTGCGACCATCCACAGGATGATATATATATATATGACATATGACAAAGATCTCATCATTCTTTAATCACCATTAATCACCATGGTTAACTACCATTAATGGTTGAAATTAGGATTTAATGATGAAGCATCATTTAATCACCATTAATCACCATTAATTTTATCCATTAATTGGGATTTTATCCATTTTTATTACCATTAATGGTGAAGATAAAATCCCAATTTTTCACCATTTGTTGATGCTTAAAATCTCCAGATCTCATCCATTCGGAACGGCCTTCCGCAAAGTTTCTTAGATTTGTATTGGTTACTGTATCACCACGTTGGGATATATGAACTATCTTACTAACATTAACTATCTAACTAGTGTGGGTAAATTATCGTGAAAAAACCTCCAGACATTTACTATAAATGTGATATATCAGGGTTAATGTCATTTAACCTTCATTTCCCTCCTTTTTTTGGCTTCCAAAGCTGGTGAAGCGACAAAAAGGCCTACTCCTGCGACAAAAAGGGCGGCAAGTCCTGCAAGACCTGCGTGGCGCAAGCCTCACGGACGGTGCGGGGGCCCAGCGAAAAGAGCGCCATGCTGTATATTACGACATAATCTACTCTATATAACATATCTGGTTGGTGGTTTGGAACATTCTTTATTTTTCCATATATTGAGAATAGTAACCCCCAACTGACGAACTCATATTCTTCAGAGGGGTAGGTCAACCACCAACCAGATATCATAGACCATATGTACCCAACTTATGACATCGTATACCCTCTGGTACATAAACTGGTTGACCCTGAAAATCACCAATTTTTACTGGAAACTAGTCTTCCAACCCCTATCTGCCAGGGTCTATGTGAATTTGCCAGAGGGTAATTAATGTTCAAATAGCCCAGATTGATTCTCGACCAGTGGTAATTATCCCAATCCAATGTTTTTTTTTTCTAAGGCCCAATGATTGACATATATAGGTGTTTAATGGGTTAGTTAATACATGTCCTTTTCCCATTGGTTGGTTGATGAACATAGATGGGGTTTCTTCAGAAGAAAAAACACATGAAAACCAACAGGTTTCTATGATGATAGATGTGATTAACCAGCTCCCGGCCCCTCTATTTTTACCAAAAGGGCATCAAATTGTGATACAGGTTCATCATGGTTAAGAATTGTTCTTAATCATGGTGAATCATGGAAAACAACATGTTCATAATGGGGAACAACATGTTCATAATGGTTATATATTATATAATAGTTGTTTGCTGTAAGTACTGTTGATAGTTATATATATATATATAATGTTATAATGGTGAATAATTGTTGGTGATAATGAATATTGGTCAATCATGTTGAATAATGATGAGTAGTTGTTAGTACTGAATTGGTAATGGTTGATAATGGGAATGATATTACCTATATGGTCAATAATTATTGTTAATAATAATGGTTAATATAGGTTAATATAGGTTAACAATGGCGAATAATGGGAATGCTTCATATGGATACATATGGATTAATCAGGTTATATAATATGGAGGTGTCCTGAAATAGGGGTACCACCAAATCATCCATGTTAATGGTATTGTCCGTTATAAACAATCCATTTGGGGGTACCATATAGGTTATATAAACGGTTAATAATGGTGAATACTGATTCATGCTGATTCATGATTGTTTATAGTACTTAATAGTGGTTAATACTATTAATAATGGACATGATATTACCTACAATGGTGAATAATTGTTGTTAATAGTGGTTGCCCTATGGTAAGTTAACAACATTTAACAACATAGCTATTGAAAATCACCAATGTATGCTGATTTTCCATAGTTATGTTAGTTTACCAGATGGTTATATAGTGCATTATATTTATATATAATGGATCCTAATTGATTGGGGATTTATTTCAATGCCACAATAGGATTTTTTACTAGGATGGGATAGGGTATTGCTCAATTGTTGTAATCCCTTCCCCCCTGTTCGTATATGGCTATGGATCAATACCTATTAATACCATTTTTAATGGGATGAACATCCATTTACCAGCTATTTTGATGTTAATGAGGGGTACAAGGTTTTGACACACTGCCATCTAACACCCCAGAAACCACGGTTAAAAAACGGTGACATTTTTCACCAATGACTTTTTCGACATCGGCCAAGCTGCGAACGTTTGGAAGCAGACAATCGGCCGATTTTGACCTGCACAACTGTCAAAATCTTGGCATGATGATTGAAATGGGGGTGGGTCAAAACCCTGGTACCCCTGGTGAACATCAAAATAGCTGGTAAATGGATGTTCATCCCACTAAAAATGTATCTATAGGTATTGATCCATACCCAAATCTGTTTGGAGATTGAACTCAGCGTTTCAAAAATAGTCTTTTTGGTCCTAGCTACCGGGTAGGAATGGATAGAATTCGTAGTTGTTACTTCGGATATTTGGGTTACCCCAAAAAAAACTACCCTCTGGTTATTTAACATAGGCATGGAACATCACCATTTCTAATAAGTAAACCATCTATAAATGGGCCATTTTCCATGGCTATGTTAAATAACCAGAGGGTAATCATCATAATTGGAGGGTTCCTATAACATGGGGGATCCCAAGACGTCACCATGGTTCTAGACTGGTCCAAGTTTGGATGATTTGGGGGTACCCCCATGACTTAGGAAAGCTCCACGTTCCCTGTTTGAATGGCCATTTGGTGGTTATCACGGTATGCCCCATTTTCAGACACAACCAATTTGCTAAACCGAAACCGACGGGTTGAGTAGGTTACTGAGTCAGATATTCTGCTAAGTATCACTGTTTTGTAGAGGATCCAAGGCTGGTCATGAATGGTTAGTAAAACTTTTAATTATCTAGGTCAATCTTGGATGGGTAGAAACTAATCCTTCAGTCATTCGGTATCTGGCTGGGATTATCGAGCCGTTCACCAGCATTCAGAATGTGTCATTTTTTGCAGGCTATCTCTGGTAATTTAACATTGCTATTGAACATGGCCATTTATAGTGGATTTTCCCATTAAACATGGTGATGTTCCATAGCTATGTTAAATTACCAGAGGGTATCTGGCTGATTGGCCATGTTATGATTGTGATCCCCTTTGTGTATGGGTCATGCCTGAGCTCGCTTTTCCCTGAACTTCTAACAACGATTGAGCAGACATGGGTGATTGTCCTCAACCGATTCGTATTTGCCGAACGACTCTTACATGATATTTTTGTATAAGCAGTATCAGAAAGAAAGCACACATTAAAAAAACATGTTTGTTTTTTTACGAGTTGCAAATCATGAAGACATATTCTTACTTGTGCTTAGTAGGGAATGAGGGAATGATCCACAATAAGTATCAATAATCATCCCATTCCCCCCATTCCCATCCATTCCCTACGTTTAGCACCAGTAAGTATTGTATCTTTGTTGATGAACAACATCTACATTTGCCAAACTCCAGGGAGACAACCAGTGTGCTTCGTGCAACCCTGGTTGGGCCTTGGTGGGCACAGAATGCAAGGCCGGAAATGGCTGACGGCCTTGGAAGGATTGGCATTTCAAAAATGGTCACCCGTTGTGACCCAGAAGTGGCCTTGATGATATTTTGAGATCTTTGAAGTGTATTATGATTATTTAATAATATGATATTATATATATTATATTATATATATATATATATATATTATATATTATATCTATATATATATTATATATATTATATATATTATATTATATATTATATAATATATATATATATTATATTATATTATATATATTATATATATTATATATATATTATATATATATATTATATTATATTATATATATATATATTATATTATATATATATATTATGTTTACATTTATCTGGTTGGTGGTTTGGAACATGTTTTATTTTCCCATATATTGGGAATAATCGTTCCCAACTGACTAATATTTTTCAGAGGGGTTGAAACCACCAACCAGTTATATATATATATACATAAGAATGAAGTGATGTATTTGGCAGTCTGAAAATCGGGGAATACACCAATTATGTGGCATTTTGTGAAGGTTTTTCAGATTCTATGACCAAGACCGCTGTTTCAAAAACACACAATTAATTAATCCATGAATTAACTAATTAATATTATTGTGGTTTCAATATTTAAGTGGTTTCATAACAACTACTATGGCATTGTCTTCTATGAAAATGATTCTATATATATATATTAATATATATATATATTATATATATAATATTCCACATGAAAATGATGATTTTGGGGATGGTTTTTCTGGTAGAAAAATGGCATTGGTAGTTTAACCTCCAAGATCGGCGTAGCAAACTGTTAGTTTACCAGATGGTATCTTGTAGATTAGTAGATTCGTAGATGCCCCTATCTGTAGGAATTCTGGTTGGTGTGTTTTTTCTTGAGCCTGATTTTTTGCAGCGTAGGATATAACTTTTAACCTCGCACAAGGGAGGCAGATAGATAGTCACAATCAAACGAGTATGCTTCGAAATGATCATCCTGTAGGGCAATCCATGACCCGTTCAACCAACAGCACATCTTCAGGTGCCACATCACAACTGCTACCAGTTTGGGTAGCATTTTGTTGAGCTTTAAATACTGTGGTTATAATTAGATATATATATATATATTATATATAATGAGATTTTAATTGGATATATATATAATGAGATTTTAATGGGATATATAACCAGCTAAGATCAGAGGTTAGCAAAGTTGAGGTTAACAGGGATAAACCCTAAACCCTCATGATTCTTCCGGTTGAATCCAACTATAATTGTCATGGAACGTTGATGGGTAAAATCCCGCAAAATGTTGCCATGGTGGTGCAGATATACCAGAAGCTATACTTACCCTCTAGTAAACTAACAGTTTGCTATTGAAGCCATGGCCCATAGAAATAGTTGATATAACGAACTGAAAAATGGTGATTTTCCATAGCAAACTGTTAGTTTACCAAAGGGTGTCAGTTACAAACCCCAACAAAGCACCCCCACAGCAAGCCTTGCGCAGAAGCAGCACAATGTGATCTCTGGCTGGTCGAGGAAAGGGGATGACAAGAGAGCGAGCGTTACTTTGAGCGAAATTGGTGAAAACTGTTGGTTTTATATACCCTCTGGTAATTTAACATAGCTATCGAAATGGCCATTTATAGTGAGTTTTCCCATTAAAAATTGTGTTTTTCCATAGTTATGTTAGTTTACCAGAGGGTACTGTAGAAGTGATAACTCAACGTGAAAACCTGGTTGGTGGTTTGGAACATGACTTTTATTTTCCCATTCAGTTGGGAATGTCATAATCCCAACTGACGAACTCATATTTTTCAGAGGGGTAGGTATACCACCAACCAGAAACTCAGTAAAACCAATAATTTAACATGATAGATATATATATGTATAACATTGATGTGACAATGGTTTTTACATGGGATGTTAATGATGTACAACTCATTTTATATGGTTAACACCAGGGATTTAACAATGATGTAACAATGAAACAATGTTGAACATGATGGGATTGAACTCATTGAACCGATTGTACAAACGGTGAAAACTGGGGATGACAAGGAAAGTTAGCCGAGCTCACACTTGAAATGGTGGTGTACTGGTTCATACCGATTTCTAATATCTAGCTATATATATATAACATACATACATACGTTATTATATCCTAGCAATATATATATACACATTATAATCACATTCTGTTATATATATATTATACTATGTACTGTGTATGGGTCATTTTCCCAACATGACCAGTCATAGTATCGTGCAGTTCAGAGTTTCACATTCCCCAAGATCTTCACCGCAGGTTGCACTGGACCAAGTCTCGCCGCTAGCTATATGGCAATTTCAAGATCCTAAAATGGAGGTACGTTAGTACCATATAGTAACAAAAGATAATATGGCATAATATGGCCAGATAATAGGCCATATACAGTATAATAATTGTCTAATATATATATATATGTATATATATATATATATACCAATCGTTTACAGTTTGCTATTGAAAATGACCATAAAAATAGGGGATTTACCCATTAAACATTGTGATTTTCCATAGCAAACTGTTAGTTTACCAGAGGGTAAGGCCATATTTTGTGGGGATATTCCCTTACATAGGCCTGAACAATAGGCTTATATATTATATATGGTAGGTACCTCCAATCAATCGGTTCCTAAAATTGCCATTGACTATAGAATGGTTTCTTGATGCTTTTGCCTCAAGTTTGACCTACGTTGTTTGTACTATTCTGGTTGGTGGTTTCAAACATGACTTTTATTTTCTATTTTATATATGGGATGTCATCCTTCCCATTGACTAATATTTTTCAGAGGGGTGGGTATACCACCAACCACTATTTGGTGATGCTTGATGATGGGGTATGACCCAAACAGCGGCAATTCTATCAGGACACCGATGATGTTCCAGTGGATGTAGTGCACAAATTTCAGAGAGATATTTACCCTCTGGTAAACTAACATAGTTACCCTCTGGTAAACAAACATAACTATGGAAAATCACCATGTTTGATGGGAAAATCCACTATAAATGGTCATTTTCAATAGCTATGTTAAATTACCAGAGGGTAGTTATTGAAAATTTCCCATTTATAGTTGCTTTATCCATTAAAAATGGTGATTTTCCAGTTCGCAAACTGTAAACGTTTACCAGAGGGTTTGGCTGTCTTTTGAATCCAGCCTGGAATGATTTCCAGGACCGCGTCCTCCCTGTTCTTGGTTTATAGCCCCATCGAGTTCGACATATTCGCCATAAAACCAACAGTTAGATTTTGATCTTAGTTACAAAGGGTCACAAACTCTAAATTATCTAGCAAACCTAAATCCCATCTAAATCCCTATGTTTGGTGGCTAAATATTCTCAAATTCCCTTCAGTATGCTGCCCCTCGGTTCTGTTTTTTGTTTTATGTTCACCCCATTAACTCGTACTGGTACCAGTTCGATTTATCTGAATCTAGCATATAAACCAATATTGGCGCACGAGCTTCTGGCATGTTCATCCATTTTCCCCATGACCAGAGTTGATATCCTATGAACCAGAGTTGATATCCCATTAACTCCCACTAAAGCCTAATTGAATCCCATAAACTTCGCTATAACAACTATAATTTACAATGTTTATTGCTGGTTGGTGCTTTGGAACATGTTTTTTTTTTCCATGTATTGGGAATGTCATACTCCCAACTGACGAAGTAATATCTTTCAGAGGGGTAGGCTCAACCACCAAGCAGACAATGTTTATTGGTTTACCCAATTGCTTTTGTTTTATGAGCAGTCGCCGGCGACTGGAAAGTCACAGACACAGTGGAATGAACATGGTTTACCAAAAAACATATCCCATTATATCCCCATTAAATCTCATGATATTCCCATTCTATCTCAATTGAATCCCATTAAACCAGCTATATCAACCATAGATGTCCTTTTCCCATTGGTTGGTTGATGAAAATAGAGGGGTTTGAAGAAACCCCTTTAACAACAGGTTTCTATGATGATAGATGGGATTAACCAGCTTATACCAGCTCCCGGCCCCTCTATTTTTACCAAAGGGACATTATTGATGGGGAATGCTTACAGGAAAGCCTGATCTTATACTCCACTATTGAAAATTGCTATTTATAGTTGATTTACCCAAAAATAATGGTCATTTTCCAGTTCGTTATGTTAGTTTACCAGAGGGTAATCACTATCCATTGATCCACCATGAATTATATACCTCATTAAATACCCATTGAAATCTCATGAAATACCATTACACCAGCTATATCAACCCTGAACTGAACCGCCATTTTTACTGCTCAAATCCCAAATTTTCATGGTGCTTTAAATGAAATCCCCCCAAAAATCCCATGGAACTGGCGAAGCGCTGGCGAACCGAGGTCACCTGCCCAGCCGGAATGTGGGTCACTGGGACCTACCTGGGGGTTGTTCTGGCTCCGCAAAAAATGGCTGGTTGAATCGTTGAACCACGACAAAATTCTGCAGAAAAATCTGGTAAATCACCATGAAAATTGGTGATTCCACCATCCAAAAAATGGTGAAAATCATGGTGAACAATCACCATTCAAAATGGGATGATTCTTGATGAATTTTGGGGATATCACTGAAATGATCAACCTTTTTTTTGGTGAGCATCACACGGATTCAACGGATTTCAGGGACTCAACATGGATTTAACCATGGATTTAACCTTTTGAAAAATGGTGGAAGAAATGGTTTACAAATGGTTAAGAATCTTTTTGGGGAAGGTGTTTTGTTGGGACTCTACAAGCAAATCTAAGCAAAGTGACTATTGCTGTAGACTATAGACCCCCAAAATTTATTCACTTCGATTCTCTAATGTACTGTAGGTCGATTTCAGAGTCATACTCATCTGGGTGAAATTTAGGACAAAATCCCCAAAGACTGCCAATGTATACTCAACAAGAAAACACCCTTCCATAGTTTTCCCAACCGTCAATTCGATCGAGGTGAAGAAGTGCTGGGGAGGCTGGGAGCGGAACATCGAACGTGTTTGTTTTTCACAGTGCAGAGCACCTGCAAGATGTGGAATATTATAATGTTAGTCAAGCAATCAGGATGGTGCCCCCCCAGTTATAAGTTGGTTTATAAACCCCATTAACTATAGTTATATCTGCCATAAACCATAGTTATGGGACTTATAAACCAACTTAGCTAACTATGGGGCACCACCTTGATGTCAAGCAATAAGTTTATACCAGACATATGTTGATGGTTTATAGCAGCCATTTATGATAAAAATTCGGGATGGTGCATCCTGCTTTATTAACAGACATTGACTAGATTAAGCTCGATGGACCACTCTGCAGATGGTCGGGGTCTGATTTGTTTTGGCGCTTAACAACAAAACTATTACATGAATCTACCCTGTGGGTAATTTGTTACATAGCTATTGAAGCCATGGCCCATTGAGTTCGTTGATGTACCGAACTTAAAGATGGTGATTTTCCAGTTCGCTAGCCGCTAGCTATGTTAGTTTACCAGAATGTACTATTCCTTTGAGTGGATCTGAAATCCTGCAACTCTGACAACTCTAATTGATTACAGTAGATTATATATTAAAAAACGAATGGAACACTGGGATAGAAAAAGATGAACGTTAAATCATCCAGCAGCATGAGTTCAACGTCATTTACCCTCTGGTAATGACTAACATAGCTATTGACAATGGCCATTTATAGTGAGTTTTCCCATTAAAAATGGTGATTTTCCATAATTAGTTATGATAGTTTACCACAGGGTACTAGACTGTTTGGTTCGGTGAATGTCTAAAGATGTTTGGTTCGTGGGTCAAAAAATCACTGTACTTTCCCCATATTTGTTGGTTGGCTGTCCCAATTTTGTTTAGTCCTCCTGACACCAATTGTTTTGGCCAGTTTTGGCTGGCTAGGTGCTAGCCTCTGCGTTTTTGGTTGGGTTCTTGATTAAATGATGTTGAATCCAACTATCTTGTTGGTTAAATCCTTGTAAAAACATCTGCATTTTAACACAAAAGTGTGTTTGAATCCCAATGTTTGGCCGGTGAAAAACCTGTCTCGGAAAATCCTGTGAAAACATGTGGGTCGGAAAATCCGGAAATCCGGTGACCTCCCGAAATTTATTTACGGACGCCAGCGGCAATGGAAAATCCCAGCGGGTTCTCGGACATCTTTGATGTAGATCGGCTGGGATTTGTTCCTCCAGTAGTCTGATTCTATGATCATGGTGATTGATGGTTATTTTTTTATACTGTGTAATGATGGTTAATGATGGTTAATGATGGACCATATCATTAGTGATCATGAATCACCAATTGATCAAACATGCTGAAACCATGGATTTAACCAACACAACATGTTGTCCAAGCATTTTACAGGGATATTCAGTAATGGCTGGTTTGGTGGTTTGGAACATTGTGTATTTTTCCATATATTGGGAATAATAATCCCAACTGACTGATTTTTTTCAGAGGGGTAGGTCAACCACCAACCAGATTAGTGATCATGAATCACCAATTAATCACCATTATCAATGATTCCCATATCTTCCAAGTATCACCCATTATTCACCCGAATTATTATTGATCACCATATAATCACCATGATCAATGACTATTCACCCAATGAGTAGCAATATCATTAAATAGCAATATTATATATATATTATATTCTTATATATTAATCACCATATCTCTAATCATTATCATTTTTCACCATTATGATCATTATTCACCCATTATTCACCATTATGCACCCATTATCACTCATGAATTCCCAAGTCATCATCAGGCTGGAAGGGCGATGGCAACCTCATCAGCAGCGACGGCAAGACCTGCACCGTTTCGGGGTGCAAGACGTGCGGTGAAGGGTTGCGAGTCGACTCTGTGGAAATAGTTAGTAATGATTCATAGAAATGGTTAGTAATAGTTAGTAATAGTTATTGATGGTGGGATTGTACCCTCTGGTATTACCTGGTAAACAAACAGTTTGCGAACTGGAACATTCTTTAATAGGTAAATCAACGAACTAAATCGGCCATGGCTTCAATAGCAAACTGTTATGTTGCCAGAGGGTATGTTGGATTTTGTGGGATATAATGTGGGTATGTGGGATATACCCTCTGGTAAACTAACGTAGCTATGGAAAATCACAATTTTTGATGGGAAACTCACTATAAATGGCCATTCATTGTCAATAGCTATGTTAGTTTACCAGGGGGTATAAGATGACATGACTATAGTTAATGGTTCATTATAAGTTTTCTTTACTTGGAGGATCATCCCACTTAAAAAAAAAACGGTTAGTGACTATAGTTTGTTTCAGCCATCTATATGTGAGAGATAAACATATATCATATCTGTATAAATATATATATATAAAGATAGATAGATAGATAGATAGATAGATAGATGCATAAGTATAGTTAATGGGATATCTGGACCTCACTTCGACGTCGATTGGTGGGGGGGAAATATCCCAAATGTCCTTGTTTCATCTTTTTTCAGGTGTGTGAATTCATTTATTTTATCCTGATATATGTGATTACCATATATATATAATATAATATATATATATAATATATATATATATATAGAAAAATACAAAAAAAACAGGTTATAAATCTCTATTTACCCAAAAGAATGGTAGGTAACCTACTGTAAGACAAGATGTTGGTGACCTGGGGCAATGTAACAAAATATTCACATCTTTTTTTTATATGCCTCACTGGAATCATGGTTAGTTTGTGGGATATCATCCCCAATGGCCGAACTATTCAGGTTAGTGAAACATTATAATTTACCCAGATATTATATATATATATATATAAGTTACTAAGCATAGTTATAGCACTACACTTAGAGATAGGCAAGTGATTTGCCATTATGTGAGTGGATGTTAGTGGGATTCTACTGTTCTACCTCTTTGGGTCTTGTTATCATTGGACTAAATAGTTTTTCTACTGGTTTGATACCATTGAACAACTGAATTTAATTAATATGGCAGTGTGTCAAAACCTGGTACCCCTAGTGAACATCAAAATAGCTGGTAAATGGATGTTCATCCCACTAAAAATGGTATTAATAGATATTGATCCATACCCATATGTTGTTTCATCCTGCATAAAAGGGGCTTTGTTAAGGGTGAATCTAAACAAAACTGACGAATTTTGATAATGCCATCGACCATCACCGGCAGTGGTTTAGAGTTGTTGACTCTTGCATAACCATCCGAAATACCCTCTGGTTATGTCAAAATAGCTATTGAAAATGACCATTAGTAGTGGATTTTCCCATTGAAAATGGTGATTTTCAATAGCTATGTTAAATTACCAGAGGGTAACTACACCAAACTAGATTTGGTTTTGATTGAAAAGCACATATATGAATAATCGGCCAGGGTAGAATCCACTGCGTGAATGGCATTACCATCCCAAACATGGTATAGTTATGGTAAAACTATAGTAACACATCCCAAAGAGTATCAATACTTGGGATTGGAGTATGATTCCCAATTTCATCAATCACTCTGATGTTTATGATTATAATACATAGATATAAACCAATATCGATGTTATGAAACTAGAATAATACAGGTCTTTGAATCAATTATAGCGCAAATTACGCTAGAAATTGCGCAATTGGTATCCCCAATTACTTTATTTTTATACTGATTGATGATTGAGAACATATCCACCTATTGTGGTTGATAACTGGGGATGCAATCTATTGTTCTTTTCTTTCTCAAATCCCTACAAGGTGAAAGCCCCAAACAATACTGATTGGTGGTTTGGAACATGTTTTTTCCATTCAGTTGGGAATGTCATCATCCCAACTGACTCATATTTTTCAGAGGGGTAGGCTCAACCACCAACCAGGCGAAGTTGGGAGTTCCATAGCTAGCTTCATCTATGGTGCAGATTGATTGTGGCTTTATACACCAATTCCTACATGTCAGAACTCAGCGTGCTATTGCAATCAGATGTAACTAACATGTCAGCGCCCCAAAAAAAGACGCTGAACAGTAATTCTCCACTATATGTGTAAAGAAATGAACATATGTAACATATAGTAACATATAGTAACCTCCAAATAGATTTTTAGCTTCGGATTTTGCAATTCGATCTATTTGGAGCTTTCTGTAGGATGGTACCCCCAGTTTTTTGTTGGCTTATAATCCCCATGAACTGTAGATATAACCCCCATAAACCCCAACGTAATTGGCATCATAAACAATGTTAGCTAACTATGGGGCACTACCATTTTACTTGCTGACAATGAGATAATATGTCCAAACTAGGGCACTAAAATGGGGCACTAAACTATGTAAAAAACTATCTAATGATTATAATTCATCTCCACCAAAACTAACTATAAATGGGGCCACTGATCTACCATTAAACCATCTGATTAAACCTACCTATAGTACCCCCCAGTAAACTAACAGTTAGCAAACTGGAAAAATCAACATTTTAGTAGGTAGCTCTTCTATAACTAACATAGCTATAGACAATCACCAGTTTTCATGGATAAACAAAGGTAAGGTAAACCATCAATAAAAATGAACCATGTTCATCCATTTTCCATAGCAAACTGTTAGTTTACCAGAGGGTTTTCAAGGGTAAATCCACTATAACTAGGTCAATCGACTAGATAGGTAGAAACTAATCCTGAATCGTCTTTTGGTATCTGGCTGGGATTATCTACGTTCACGAGCTAAGAATTTAATCCTGGTTGGTGGTGACTGGAACATGACTGGATGACATGACTTTCCAGAAACAGTTGGGAATGGATTTTTTTCATCCCAACTGACTTTCACTCACTCACTCCATCATTTTTCGGAGGGCTAGGGCAACCACCAACCAGATATATTATCAACCATCATTAATCATATATGGGTATGGATCAATACCTATTAATACCATTTTTAGGGGGATGAACATCCATTTACCAGCTATTTTGATGTTCACCAGGGGTACAAGGTTTTGACACACTGCCATATATTAACCAGCATCATTAACCATCATCATTAACCAATATTAACCAGAAAAAATGTGGATTTACCCAAAATCATTAACCAACATTAACCAGAAATACCCTCTGGTAAACTAACATAACTATGGACAATCACCATTTTTCATGGGAAAACTCACTATAAATGGCCATTTTCAATAGCTATGTTAGTCATTACCAGAAATAATGGTTCCCATCCCACAACTTCCCACGTTCAAAAATAACCAGATGTTAACCATCATTAAGCATATATTAACCATCATCATTAACCATATATAGAGGATTTACCCATTGAAATATGTTCCCATCATCATGGCTGATTGGCCAAGATTCGCCAGTGGGCCCTCTGGGACGAGGCTCAAGCCACCGGCGGGATGCGCGTCAAGGCCTATGCCACCTGCTGGACCACCGAGACCCTGCCGCAGGCCGCGCGGGTATGAGATCTTGGTGAAAAACATGGAACAAACACATGGAAACATGCTGAAAAATGCATGAGAAATGCTGAAAAATGCTGAAGATGAGTGAACTTGAATTGATTTGATCATGATTTGATCATGAGAAATGGTGGACAGATATTGGAAAATGCTGGATTTAAGTATGAAGCATTGGGGATTTGACCAACGAATAATTAACAAAAACAGCTCCAAATTTGCATTTATATAATAGGAAATCATTGGGATATTGATGGAACATTGTATTTTTTGGTTGTATTGAACGATCCAACATGGTGCAAAATGGTGGATTGAATTATATGGGATTTACCCATGGAAATCACCATACCAATAGATGTATAGGGTGCCTAAAGATAGCGAACCACATCTGGGATGTGGTCAAGATGATGTTTCCTGCTAAAAAAAACTCCAGGCGTCGAAGTGTTCGGTTCGGAATCGATATGTAATTTCCGAAACACCCCATCGGGAAGCACTAGTGACTTTGCCGATGGACCTGGTGCGTCCTGGTGCCTTGGGTCAGGTGAGCTCCAAGAACTGGAAGACAGGTAGCATCACAGTGGATTGCAAACAGGGCGATGCCATTGGATGCACCTGCTACTCTGCAGCTTGGCTATACCATTGACATCCATTGACATTGCCTACGATAGCAACATCCAATACCTAGATAGAACAGTTAAAATTTCTACCTAAATAGATCTAAATAGTGATAAATTACTATGATGGGGGTATGATGGCACAATGGGTGTTTAGCGTAATACTAAGGGGGGATATTAGTGGTTTAACAATAGAATTTAGCTAGGAACAATAGCGATAAAACAAGATACAATCAAACATGCGGGATGTTGATGTGTCCTTCAAATTGTTAGTATACCCTTTGCACCCAATTTGTTTTATCGCAATTGTCGGAACATGATCGAAAAAACTATCGAAATTTAGGCGACTATTTCTGGACGCACCCATATTTATGCATCGTAACATTACAAAACGGGAGAGTCACTAGCGGTAATGTGCGTTATTTTTTTTGACAAAAATATGTGTATATATATAGATATATGCTGGGATTTATAGCAGTAAACATTGGGGTAGTCAATTTCAAGAGTGAGTGTCTAAGTTGATGGTTTTGTCTGTGGGCCAAGTGATCGAATGGGGATAGTTTTTTTTTATCCCACAATCTTCTATGGTATTCCCAGAATCCTATGACAACAAGTTTCACGGCGTTGCCAGGGAAGAAAATGTGGGGGGGTGTTTTGTAGTAGCAAGGTATGCCTTCCTCATGTTTTCGTGTTCTGTTTTCTGCTTTGGGAATAGCTGAATATGGCAGGAAAACTCAAGGTTTTCAGTCATTCTCAACTAGGTCCTCCCGGGAGGGGCACTCCAGTACCTTTGTCTTTTGCTATCCATGGGGATATTCAACCCTATACACATCTGTCACATCTATTTTGAATTATAGTGACATCACCATGACGTCACTGGAACGATGGTCAGAAATGGAAATCATCCCCAAATGGCACTATTTCAGCTATTTTCAGGTTGGTGAACTAGAATCATTCAGCCAGACAAATGGTGGTTAACCCCATGTCAAGTACATTAAAATGTTCAAATCATCAGCCAACACGAGGTTTTTGTTCACTCTGCCCGCTATAATGTGCCGCGGACAACTGGTGATAGTCTCATCCCGATATTTAAAGCCCCCATTGTATGGTACCAAAATGTACCCTCTGGTAAACGTTTACATAACTATGGAAAATCACCATTTTTCATAGGAAAACTCACGAACTAAATGGTGGATCTTTCTATAGTTACGTTAGTCATTACCAGAGGGTAATTTCTTGCATAGCTATTATGGCAAAGCCCATAGAAATGGTTGATTTACCCAAAAATATTCAAGATGGTGATTTTCCATGGCTATGTTACCCAAATATGTGTTTCATCCCTACATTCACCATGGTTTCTGGTGGTGTTTAATATGGATGGGGGTCCCGGGACTACCAAGCACCGTTTTCTCTAAGATTGATCAATGGGAGATCTCCAGGATCCGAATTAATGGAGGTACGTTAGTACCATATTTTTGGCCATATGAATTGGGGGGATATCCCCTTCCATAGGCCTAAAAGATAGGCCAAACATATATGGAATTGGTACCTCCAATGTTTATCGGTTCCGCTTCGTCATGGCCATTGAACTGAGGCCTGGAGGGTCAGAAACTATTGCTATGATAGCAGGAGCAAGAAGAGTGCCTTGGCTACAGCGCAAAAAATGGATACGTGTCTATAGTAGTATAGCATAGTATAGCTGGCGAAAAACCACCAGAATGCATCATTACTCAATTTTACATGTACTTTTACGATGTTTTTCTTGAAAAATGATGAGTAACCCAGGGTGTGGGGGTATTTCCAGACCAAAACAAAACTGCATGTTTTTTTTTTGGTGGCTATATGGCCAAGACTCTTCCCAGCAATGCGTAACGACGCCAATGATATTTAGATGAGTACCTCAATCCCATGATTCTCTGAATAAACCCTTCAGGGCCAAATTTCTTCACCAGTCTGATATCTGGTTGGTGGTTTGGAACATGGCTTTTATTTATCCATATATTCGGAATGTCATCATCCCAACTGACGAACTCATATTTTTCAGAGGGGTAGGTGAACCACCAACCAGATATCAATGAAAATCCCACATCTTTTGACAAGACCGACATTTCCCATGTGTCCATTTGTGGATGGTTGCATCTCCATGTTGCTTGGCTAGATATGTTTTCCATATTTTGTTCCAGTTATTTTCAAGTATATGTTCATTGTCAAAAATCGTTTGATATGTTTTTGAAAAGAGGCTATTCCGCCGTTAACTCTTATTTATTTGTTTATGTTCAAATATATGTTCACTGGTTGGTGGTTTCAAACATTTTTATTTTCCATTTCATATATGGGAGAATCCTTCCCATTGACTTTCATCTTTTTCAGAGGGGTAGGTATACCACCAACCAGATATATTATTAACCATCATTAACCATATATTAACCATATAATAACCATATAATAACCATATAATAACCATATAATAACCGTATTTTGATGGATAAAGCCGCAACGGGCACGGTGCTGCCATCAGGCAGCGCGGACAGCTTTGATCCCGTGGATCACAAGTGCACCCGCTGGGACGCCGAGTCGACGCCGAGAGTGCCAAGGTATGGCAAGGTGTTGGATGCCAATGGGTTTGTCTGAAAATAGTGTACCCCTACACCCAATGGTTAATGATCATTATCCCTACTAAATGGCTATAATTGGGGGTATACTCCATTTTCAGACATACCCAACAGGTTTTCGAGTCAGGTGACACCCTCCAAGAATCTAGGTCAATCGACTAGATGGGTAAAAACATGTAAAAACTAATCCGCTATAGTCTTTTGGTATTAATGGCAGTATCTACGTTCACCAGCAAAGAATTTATTTGTTTGCAGGGTATCTAAGATTGGCAAGGGAATAAGGGCTTACTATGGGCAGATCTTAATATATCTTAATCACCAATTTTTGCAGCTTCAGAAAGGGCGAAGTGAAGCATCAGGGGAGGTCACCTTCAAAAGGGCTGGTTGTTTGAATCCCCATGTTCATTTGACTTGATAGTTCACTATTTAAATAGACTTGACTTAATCATCAAACAGAGAAATTGAATAAGTTATAGTTTGATGATTAAGTTTAGTTTATCATAGTTAACTTAATCATCATTAAACTTTATTATATATTGTATCAAACAATATATACCCTCTGGCTATTTAACATAGCCATGGTATAGATGGCCCATAGAAATAGATGGTGTACCTATTAAAAATGATGGATCTTTCCATGGCTATGTTAGTCATAACCAGAGGGTAATATTATACAATGTGAGGCCCCCAAGATATAAGTTGGTTTATAAGCCCTAGTATCTATAGTTATAAATACCATAAACCATAGTTATTGGAGTTATAAACCAACTGAGCTATCTTGGGGGCCTCACATTGTATTATATTATATTTACTTATATCTCCATATTCTTGGAGACCTTGAAGCAAATCCAGGACGACCTTGCACCTCACTACTTGGAGGTGCAGTTGAGGTTGCAAATGGGTATAAGCATGTTGATAAACCCCAAAAAATGGATACACAGCCTATCTCTACTACCACATATATACTTATGAAATCTTATGAATATGTTCTTTTAACTCCAGAATTTAGGCTTTATTGTAGATATATCTGAAGTTGTACAATGGTTTATGAACCAATTTATAACTGGAACTGCACTTCTATAGATTGGTTGTATCCAATTCCCTGGTTGTACTTTATACTTTGCAACTTCTGTAATTTATAACCAAGTACTATAAGTGCAGAGTTGTAAATTTAAACCAATTGGAACATATTGAATATAGTTGATTGTCCAAACGAAACTATAACGATTATGACTGAACTATAACGTACTATAACTACAACTGATTAAAAATGACTATAACTACATTATGACTTCTGTATCCCTGTCTCCCCCCTTTCCGCTTCTACGTCGCTTGTCACCCCCATGCCATCGCCTGAGGCTGGAGCGGCGGCCACAAAGTCAAGGCCGAAATCCTGGAGTTGTCGAGCTGGGGTAATGACTAGCAGTGTGCTATTGATAATGGCCATTGAAATAGTGGATTTTCATGGATTTTCCCATTGAACATGGTGATTTTCCATAGTTATGTAAACGTTTACCAGAGGGTAAATTGGAGGTACCTACCATATATGTTTGGCCTATTTTTCAGGCCTATGTAAGGGAATATCCCTACAAAATATGGTTTTATATGGTACAGTACCTCCATTTTAGAATCCTGAATTCCCATTGAAGTTGGCGTGTTTGTTTTTTTCTCCGTGTTGAATCAGCACATATAGGGGATGCATCATATATTTGGTAGTGATATTTTAACCAAACTTAAGATAGTAATTTCAGATACATAAACCAACTTTTTCGGAGTATGGGGCAGTGGCTGCTAAACCCTGCTTGGTTGATGATTAGTTCGGGGATTATACTATTGGGGATTATGATATATTGTTATAATCCAAAAGGGGAATCCCTTTAAACCAACCAGTAGAATGGAATGATAGAGGGATTTTGAACACTGCTCGAATGTGGAGAAATATGGGGGATACTATAGATTGTGGTGATATACACTACACTACACTCATTACACTGCAGCACGCTGCAACTACAAATGTCACTACAACTACACTACATTACACAACACTACACTACACTAATTACATTACATTACTCTACAGCTACAACTGCAACTACAACTGCATCTACAAATGCAACTACAACTACACTGTATTACACAACACTACGCTACACTACGCAAACTACACTAGACTACACATACAACTGCAACTGCACTACTTTACGCTACACTAGAAAAGACTACACTACCCTATACCGCACTACAGCACACAACACTACAGTACCCTACACTACAGTACACTAATTACACCGCACCACAGCTACAACTGCAACTGCAACTACATTGCGCTAATTATATTACACCACAATTACAACTCCACTCCACTACAGCTACAACTATAACTGCACTACACACCACTACATCCAGCAGTTGTGGTGAGGTGATCACTGCAACCATTGACCATTCTAAAAAACACAACTCCAACCACCTTTCCGTCCATCAGTGGATTCGCTCTGCCATCCGTGCATCACAACAACGAACCTCTCCTACAGGATTCCTCTTTTTGAAACTTCCGCCACCGCCTTGTGCGGCACTACTGGGAGGGTTTCAACAAGATATCAAAGCCCCCCGGCCACATGAACAGTTAACCATGCAGTCATTAGGGTATCTTATAGGGTTTCAAGAAGATATCAAAATCATCACCATCATCATCACCATCATCATCATCATCACCATTATCATCATCATCATCATCATGATCATCATCTTGGCTTGCCCGGACACTCGTTGCGAGCCTGGGCAAACCTCAGGGTCTTGCCATAATTTTAGTAAGAATAGGTAGTAAGAATATCCCACATGGGTTGTATACTTTTGGACTTCTTAACCACAGTAAGATCCAGCCAGCCACTAGGATTAGTAGTTTGGCCACTCTGCTCCCAGGTGTATGCGCTCTGCTCCCAGGAGGGGCGGTGGGGAAGAATGGGGAAATCCCTAGGACGGCTTCCTCGGGAACATAGCAAATAACTGGGTAAATTATAACGCATCATGGTTAATTTGTTGGAAATGATCATTCAAATAGCCAAAAACCAATCCATGTAATCCAGCTGGTTACTAAGTTTCCCTCTGGTAAACTATCATAACTAGGGAAAATCACCAATTTTATTGGGAAAACTCACTCTAAATTGCTATTTTCAATAGCTAACTGTTAAATTACCAGAGAGTAGTTGTTTTATTACCGTTTTTTGTCCACCATAGAAATGAGATTATCCCTAATGATTTGCATATATCTTCAGCGGAGATTGAGATCAGCAACCAGTGATCATTGCTATGGATCCCCAACAAAACTAATCCATTGACTACCAAATTTGATGGCTAAATCAATCTGAATCACCATTTATGATGGGGGAATAACATTTCTTCTGCAAGACGGAGGAGGAAGCAAAGATGGTATCCGTCGTGTGCGCCGATGAGAATACATAGAATACACAGATGAGAATATATGTTCTTACATAAGTTAAGAATACATAGATAAGAATTGATGGAATTGGTAGTTTAGGAGAATGCGTAGATACGATGAATACGTTGTTAAAAAAATATTTCGGAATTAATGTTTAAGACGTGGGAAGAGATGATCGGTATGCGGTTTAAAAAACGTTGCCTGGGTACGGGGGTAGTATTGTCAGCCGAACCATGGTCTATGGGCCATAATGTGTGCCTCTGATTTGTGTGGGCCCCCCCCCCCCAAACAACTTGAGTATACTCTATAACTCGCACTTGTTTTTGCCCCCCCCCTCAACATTTTTTTTGGTTAATCAACTTAAGTAAGGATTTTGATTTACTTTCCATTGATTTCAATTTACGTCAAATTTATTTTTAATTTACTTCCAATTGATTTCAATTTACTTTCAATTGATTTCAATTTACTTTCAATTTATATTTAATTTACTTTCAATTGATTTCAATTCACTTTCAATTTACTTTCGATTGATTTCAATTTACTTCCAATTTATTTTAAATTTACTTTCAATTGAATTCAATTTACTTTCAATTGATTTCAATTTACTTTGAATTGATGTCCGAGGTTTCGTTTTTTTTTTCACTCCCAAAAGTTGGTGCTCACAATAGAGTACCATCCACACAATTATATTTTTGAGTAACTGAGCCACTCATGAGGTATCCCCTCGAAAAATTGTTTGGGTGTTGTTTTTAAATAAGGGTTTAATAAGGCATCTAATTATTTGGAAAACCTTGCATTTTAAAGCTTTAACACAAATATTGTTTTCTAAAGTAAAAGGACCAGCTTTACCCAAAGAAAGGTGGAAAAAGGGTATTTTTTTTTTCACTTTAAAAAGTTGGTGCCCACAATAGAGTACCATCCAGACAATTATATTATTGAGTAACTGGGCCACTCATAAGGTATTGCCTTGAAAAATTGTCTGGATGCTGTTTTTTTCATAAGGGTTTAATAAGGCATCTAATTATTTGGAAAACCTTGCATTTTAAAGTTTTAACACAAATATTGTTTTCTAAAGTAAAAGGACCAGCTTTACCCAAAGAAAGGTGGAAAAAGGGTATTTTTTTTTCACTTTAAAAAGTTGGTGCCCACAATAGAGTACCATCCAGACAATTATATTATTGAGTAACTGGGCCAATCATTGTTTTTTCAGGCATCTAATTATTTGGAAAACCTTGCATTTTAAAGCTTTAACACAAAAAATATTGTTTTCTGAAGTAAATGGACCAACTTTACCGAAAGAAAGGTGGAGAAACGTTTTTTTTTTTGCCTCCTAAAAATTGGTGCTCACAATAGAGTACCATCCACACAATTATATTATTGAGTAACTGGGCCACTCATGAGGTAACCCCTTGAAAAATTGTCTGGGTTTTTTTTCATAAGGGTTTAATAAGGCATCTAATTATTTGGAAAACCTTGCATTTTAAAGCTTTAACACAAATATTGTTTTCTAAAGTAAAAGGACCAGCTTTACCCAAAGAAAGGTGGAGAAAGGGTTTTGTGTTCTTTTTCGCTCCAAAAAATTGGTGCTCACAATAGAGTACCATCCAGACAATTATATTATTGAGTAACTGAGCCACTGATAGGGTAATTAATTACAGTCACCGACATAATTATGGAAAAAAAAACGTTTCAATTTACAGGCGCCGCCTGTCTATGATAGAAAAGTTACGAACTTTTTTTTCCATAATTATTGTTTCCATAATTTGTTTTTTTCCATAATTCTGTCGGTGACTGTATGTCCATCGATTCGCAATTTGAATGCATTTTAAGGGGGAATCTTGAATTATAGAAAATATGTGTCTAAAGATCTGGTATATGCCCCTAAGTCTTCCATTGATATACATAATATCATGTGATGTTCGCAATTTGAATGCATTTTAAGGGGGAATATTGAATTATAGAAAATATGTGTCTAAAGATCTGGTATATGCCCCTAATTGGGTTGATACTACATACTTGCATTTGCATACATATTTCCATAACCCCCCCAAAAAAACGGGTTTGAGTTGTGGATCCATGACATGTCCAACAGGTGGAGTCCCAAACATTAATTATGGAAAAAATAACTATGGAAAAACCGGTCAATCTGCCCTAGCCCCCTGATTTCACAGGAAAAATCAATTATGGAAATAATGGCCACCTCCAAGAATTATGGGAAAAAAAAAGGTTCGGATCACTTAAGGGATATTTTGAACCCTTATGGGGAAAAATCTAATTATGGAAAAATTGGACGCAGGCGCCGCCTGTCTAAGTTGAACGTTTTTTTTCCCATAATTCTGTCGGTGACCATAATGAAAAGGAAACAATGAAAAAATGAAACAATAGTATATAAATAAAAATAAAACAACATAAAAATAGAAAAATAAAAAGTGAAAATAAAAAAAATAACTAAAATTAAAATAAAAATAGATAAAATGAAAATAAATAAAATAAAACTAAACATAATAAATAAACATAAAATAAACAATAAAGCATTTGGAAAAAAATAAAAAAATGAAAAAACAAATCTGGAAAAACAAACCCACAATAGAGGCTCCCCCCCACAAACAGCATGATACTGAATTGCGAGCAAACAAATTCTCACAATAGGGTACCATCCTTCTAATCAGAGGCAAACATTATATGGGTGTGTTTAATATTACGGGGGGATGAGATTATTTTTCTTTCTTTTGGCCCCCAGATAGTAAAATCCAAGTAACAATAATGTTAATTGAATCATGAAGAAAGGAATGAGATGCAATATAATCTTACATGTGCCATGGTCAAGACGCGTATAAATCCATTTTGGGGGATGGTCAAGGGGTCATACCACCAAACGGAAATACATATGGCATAAAAGCTATTAAGAACGGGATGACCACATCGCATTGATCCCACGTTTTGGCGCTTTGGCGAAGGTCCACCTCACTTGGCCTGGTGACGGCCATGCCCACTATCTCAATTGCATGATTTTTATCCTCCGGTGTCACCAAACATGGCTAGCTGGGAATTCGCCTGAAAGTATGTTAATGAAACATTTATCTATAAATTGGCGATTGTTTATTGCCATGCTTGAGTACCGGAGGCTATCACTGCAAAATTGTTGCTTTTCTGGTGACATGAAACAAATCTACTCGGATATGCATCTCAATTTGTACGTGATCAATAAACCATATGTTGCTACAGTATATCCCACATCTAACAGGGTTGTGATACGGATGTCATCCAATTAGTAACTGGGATGCACCCCAAGAACATGTCTAAGGTGTTCGGATTATTTATGGGCCCATGCCCATAACTGTCATCATTCGTCAATACCCCGTTTTGGTTGACTCATTCCTTATCATTTACCCGCCGGTAACCAAACATGGCCAACATGTGTATCAGTTATCATTAGATTCAGAACCCAATGTCTGGCAATGTAGTGAATTGTTGTGTTTTTTTCTTCTCCCGCCGATATCCGTGATCGGGTGCGTCTGTGATCGGCTTGATAATATGCAGACTGCGGGTAATGGAGCATGCGCCAATTGTAAGTGGACATGGAAAACGCCGTTGACTACATGGAAAGAAAACGAGAATACGGGATTCCTGATTTGGATTAAGGACAAAGGCACATACTTGTGCTATCTCTGTGCTCAATCATGCCCAGATTTGCCACAGAAAAATCCCAGAGAATTCAAGTTCAGGACGTATGAAGAGTGTCACAATTTCCGAGCGGAGAGGATGGATCCACCACAACATCGGGCACAAGGGATTACCTGGGACGACCATTACCGAGAGACTTGGCAAAATCCATGGACAACAAATGCACCAGCTCAATTGACAACGGTGTCAGATCTGAATGCTCTGCAAACTCGAATTGGAGAATTGCAGAAAGTTCTGGGTTGCCTTCAATGTGAGGCCCCCAAGATATAAGTTGGTTTATAAACCCCATTAACTAGTTCGTTATATCTGCCATAAACCCTAGTGACTAGTGAAATTGGACTTATAAACCAACTTAGCTAACGAACTGGGGCACCACCTTGTATGGTGTTAAATGGCCCATTATAGATGATTTATGATGGTTTACCTATTAAAAATTAAACATGGTGATTTCCCCCAGAGCTATGTTAAATAACCACAGGGTATCACCTTGTTGCATCCATTTTCCGCGGGTTTCCGCAGGAGAAGTGCGCAAGCTTCGAATGTGGCGCAGGCCGTGACGGGAGGGTAATCCGAATGGATGTCCGGGGTTTGGGTTAAGATGTTTATCCTCTGGTAAACATACCAAAAACTATGGAAAATCACCATTTTTTATGGGTAAATCCACTATAAATGGCTATTTTCAATAGCTATGTAAACGTTTACCAGAGGGTAAGGCAATTTTTGGAACTCAAAAAAATCGTAAGTAATCAAACGTGGCAGTTGAAAATCGGAAATTTCATGGAGAAAATCATCAAACTAAATGGTGATTTTTTATGAAATTTCCAAACTCAGCCATGTTGAATTGCCTTGGTAAATTATAACGACCTCACTGTTCTCCCGAGCCCTGGAATCATGGTTAGCTTGTGGGAAATCATCCCCAAATGGCCTTAATTCAGGTTAGTGAATTATTATAATTCACCCAGAATTGCGGAGGCTCTGGGGTGTTCTTCGGGCCTTGTCGGGCAACCCTTCGGTTTTTTTGGCGCCACATTTTGGTTTCCACGATAGTACCAACGACCTTCAATGTTGTTTTTGGATTATAATGTTTAATCGACAATCACCATTGTTGTTGGTTAAGTATCGATATCCCTATTTTGCTGTGTTTAATTCCAATGTTTTAGCATATGATAACCCTAAATATGTATATATATATATTATATATATATATACACATCATTTTTTTGCAGTTATACATGTGACATATGTGTCTTATTAGCCGATGAATGAGTTTTGGATGCACATCTAAGCAGTCAAAGCATCAACAACCACCATTTCTCTTGCAAACAACTTCCATCAATCACATTTGTTGCGATGAGTTCCTCCTTGTTGCCACAATATTTCTGGTACAAATTGGTGTCCCCCCAGGTTTCAGTTGCTTACGCTGTCAACCAGGCTATCGAACCAGGGGGGCGCCACCTCAAAAGCCTTGTAATATCTTGTAATATACTTCCCAGTATATCCCATTATATCCCCATGAAGTCTCACTAAATCCCCATTAAACCTCATGAAATAGCCATTTAAATCTCATGAAATCCCATTACCCTCTGGTAAACTAACATAGCTATTGAAAATGGCCATTTATTTTATGGATTTTCCCATTAAACATTGTGATTTTCTATAGGTTTTTTGGATGTTTACCAGAGGGTAACCCCCCAGATTATCCACTATCAATCTCAAAAAATTGCTATTTTACCCCCTACCAATGGTGATTATCCACATGTTTTTCCACCTAGGCTATGAGCCCAAGCCCGGCACTACGGTGGGCTCCAGCAGCGACAGCTGCTGTACTCCCGTCAGCTGCCCCACGGGGTCCAGTGGTGAAGGAGTGCCAAGTGCCTTGGCGATTTCATGGTAGGCTTGATGATTAGTTTGGGGATTGTACTCACCTTTATACCCTCTGGTAATTTAACAGTTTGCTATTGAAAATGGCCCATTGAAATAGTTGATTTACCGAACTTAAAGATGGTGATTTTCCATAGCTATGTTAGTTTACCAGAGGGTATATTGTGGATTATAATAATCCAAGAACGTGGAATCCCTATTAACCAACCAGTAGTTGGTGCCCCAGTTCGTTAGCTCAATTGGGGGCCACTTAACTCCAATTTCGCTATGGTTTATGATAGATATATCGAAGTACTTACTATGGTTTATAAACCAACGTTCACATTTGCCTGGGGGGCTAAGTGGGGATTTCCTAGAATGATCCCCAATAGCTGGATGGTTTAATGGAAAAATCCGGTAATTATTCATCGATAACTTGACTTATCCCCAAGTTGTGAATTATATAAGTTTTGGCAAGGTGATTTCTTGCGGGAGTCTTCCTTGATCGGCTCGGACTGTTTGAAGACCCTTGACTCTTGGTCATATCCCGATGTTCCTTTTCCTGGTTAAATCCGTAGTATTGTTAGACAGAACTCCAAAAAATCTGTCTATCTATCCCTTTCCCAAATTGGTTGTACCTGTAGCGAGCAGTTCATCACATTTCCATGTTTCAACACCATGTTGGATTGGGAAAACGATGGCTTCTGCTAAAGATTTTGCGGACAAGAACTACCCTCTGGTAAACTAACATAACTATGGACAATAACCATTTTTAATGGGAAAACTCACTATAAATGGCCATTTTCAATAGCTATGTTAGTTTACCAGAGTGTAATCTGTTGATCCCTGGAATTGAAGCCACTCCTAAATCCCTATGTTTGATGGTTAGATCATTGTCATCTTAAACCTCCATGTTTCACACATGTTTTTGATGGTTAGTCGCCATCAATCAACATGTTCAGACATGTTTGATTGGGGGAAGCTTCAGTTTTGATGGGCAGATCCCCATAAAATCCACCATGATATCCTGGTTCATTCCTCCATTTCAATGGGTTGAAACGCCATGTTTCTCGATTTTGGCTGGTGAAATCGATGATTGACTCCCCACACCATGAATCCGGCTGGTGAGGTGGCTGTACATGCAATGCAGGTGCGGTTCGTCCGCGGTGTTCGCCAGTGGCCTAGGCTTTCTCATCAGGTTTGTTTCACCAAAGAATATATTTAACTGGTTGGTGGTTTGGAACACTTTTTATTTTCCATAATAAATGGGATAATCCTTCCTATTGACTAATATGTTTCAAGATGGCTAAAACCACCAACCAGTTAATGTAGGTAGATGGAGGTACATTAGCCCTATAAGTAGGTAGATCTAGCCATCACTTAGAGAAAGGGTGATATAGAAAACATTGTCATTGTTTTTGGCGATATTTAGTAGGTAGATTTTGCATGATGTAGCCATCTATAGGCTTTGTCTAGTGATATGGGGATATGCTTGAAGAATTCTGGACCACTCCCTCTGTGGCAGGGTTTTCTTTTCATCATCCAGGTAGGATGGCCCACATATATCATGCCACATGTCATCATGGCACATATGGTCGTGTACAAATTACTTGGTTTGTAACGGGGATTGTTATGACCCCTTTCTGAAAAACGGATCCTGGGGGACGATATTTTTTTATGAAAGAACTCCTTGGACAAGATCTGGTTGGTGGTTTGGAACATGTTTTATTTTCCATAATATATGGGATAATCCTGTCCATTGACGAACTCATATTGTTCAAGATGGTTAAAACCACCAAGCAGTTGTGATCAAATCAAAGCAACGACTGATTCATGTTGATTCTTCAGGAGCGACCGCCCAACGCGTTCAAAGCGTTGCAAGATTTACGTTGTCACTCTTGTGCTAGGTCAATCTTAGATGGGTAGTTTAATGCTTTAGTCTTTTGGTATTAATGGGATTATCTACTAAGACTAACCAGCAAAGAATTTATTTTTTTTGCCAGGTATCTAAGATTGGCAATGTGTGGACCTTGTTCCAGTGATTCTTTCTGACTCGTATGCTGAATAGAATGGTTTTTTCAGGAATACTACACAGCCGGATGATTTTGAGATGGAGCAGTTTGAAGTGGCGTGCTCTCAAATATAATTGATCTACCATAATTGTTTGATAAAATGATCATCTTTCTCATTGTGTTAATGACTGTTAATGTATATTCCATGTTGACATGGTCATGTTTTTCATATTACATTATTATTGTTATTGATGATTATTATATATTTACATTCCAAACATCTCCAAATCTGATGATATTGCCATGCTTTCATATGCAACATATCCAGAAATTATGCAACTCTTATCATTTATATACGTATGCTTTTATAGGATTACTCACATCCTCCGCCCATTTTTCAATATCTCAAAGAAAATCAGCCAGACCCGTGAGGCTTCACAGGTTCCATCACCAAGAGCTCGGAGGCTCCCTTCTTCGAAGGCGAGAATTTGGATACCCTCCTGAAAACAAACATGCTCAACTCCCTAGGTCAATCTTAGATGGATAGTTTAATCCTTCAGTCTTTTGTTTGGTATCAATGGGATTATCTACTAACCAGATAAGAATTTAATCGTTTGCAGGGTATCTAAGATTGGCCATGCTCCCAGCATGAAGATCGGACGGTGATTTTCTGCCTCTGGAAATGGCAATGTCTGGGTTCTATGTTGTTCTCTGAAAGTTTCAAGCGTGCACCATTTCTTTTTGCGGTGCAGGTTTTTTGTTTGAAGGACTTGTCTTGGGGTATCTCAGATGCAGCGATTACACTATTCGAAAATTATCTTTTAATATCTGGTTGGTGGTTTGGAACATGAATCTGATGTTTCCATTCAGTTGGGAAAAATCATCCCAACTAACGAACTCATATTTTTCAGAGGGGTTGAAACCACCAACCAGTAGCTTTTAATATCGTCTAATACTAAGACATAAGATATGTGCCATGGTAGTTTGATTGTTTTTTTTTGCAGGGTATCTGGAAAACTGGGTGATTTTGTTCAGGTAAATGTTGGTATATAAATATTCCAGCACCATGGTTCGCATATGGCTTGGGGATGGTCATCAAACCATAGCTATTCATATTCCCCTTAGGATTCCTATGGGATGAAGTACCGCAAAGCACGAGAAGCAAAGATGTTTTTGACTACGGTATGCATCGATTTTAATAGGTAAATAGGTTGATGATCAATGATTATCATACAGATGTGGCAATTTTTGTAGCATCTATGGCTATGAATCAACACCTAGGGACCCTCGGTACCCTTTAATAGTTGGTATTAGTTGCTAAATGGATGTTCATCCCACTAAAAGTGACAACAAATGGTTTTGACCCACTCCATGCCCATATGCTCCATGGTGCTGGAATATTTAGCAACATTTACCTGAACAAAATCACCCAAAATGTATAGGTAAATATACCATACATGGAGCATATGGGATATAGGTAAACTGAGATAATTAACATTTCCGGTTTCGTCCCTGAAGTCCTGGAGGCTCTTGCGATGCCGTGGCGTGCCCGATCAACAGTCACGGCGAGAGCGTGGGCGCAGGCTGCACCTGCGACAAGGGCTGCTTGGCAAGAAGGGGAACCATGATCATCTAAGTAGGATGATATATCTGGATGCATCATGGTAATAATATGATGGTAAATATACTGGTAAATATCATGATGATTGTAGTATATTACACAATATCTGGATGAATGATAACGACCTCACGTCGCGACCGAGCCCTGGAATGACGGGAATTGGATTGGGGTAGCCGGGGTAGCTATCCCAAAAATCGCCGACTTGTTCAGATCATTAGGATAATCAGCATTTTAGCAGATTTTGTGGGTATCTAGCCAACAAAATCTGGGATTTCACATTTCGCATGTGTGATAATTTGATTTATCGTAACCACCAAAAAGAAGCGTAAAAACATGCAAAAACACATCGAAATAGTCATAACTTTCCTTTATAGAGTTTTGGGGGCGCTATAATCCCATTCCTTCAATATCGAATACCTCCCACATGCACCTCCAACCTGAATAGGGTCAGTAATAAACCAGGGCTTTCTCTGGGGTATTGATATCATGGGGAAGGGAGTATGGCACAATCGCATCTGGTTGAATAGTCTTATGTCTTTGGAACCCCGTATATCATGATGTTGAGATGTACGCAATATCAACGGTGTTTTTTGTTGCCATTATTATATACAAATTATTTTCCCATGGCATATCCTCAGAAAATGCTTTGTCTTGCCCCCTAGGCCCATAATTCCATTTACATCCTTTGTACATCTATGTAGACAATATATGACACTATCTATACCTTTATATTCATGGGTTGAAAACCCTATTGTTCATGCTTAAGTCACAATTTCCCACCATGTTTGCATGCTGAACTTCCAAAATGTTGGAGATAATGTTCCTAGAAAAAAGCACGGATTTCTATATATATAATTATATATATATGTTACTTTCAATCCCAATTAAAAATCCATAAATTTCCCCATTGTTCACCATTGTTGCTGGTTGAATCACCATCATGTTCCATGCTTGATTGTTAAGTCCTCCAATGTTTGGGCAATTCTGGCATTATTCTCCATTATTCAAAGCCTATATTCCTGAAATCACCATTTGTGATGCTTCTACCATCCATGTTCCTATCATTTTCCTAGGAAAAACCATGGATTTCCACAGCTTTAAGCCTTTCCCAAGCTCCAAAACAGCGCCAAGTTTGAGGCTACAGCGGTAGCATCAAAGCCACTAGTGCTGATCCCTTCTTCAGCGGTACTTGCGTCAAAACCTGCAGCCTCTTCACCTGTCCCAAAGGCGGACGCGCGCAACAGGTGAGTTATGAAGAACTTTGGTTTATAGATGGAAAATCCATGATAAAAACCCATGGATTTATAGAGATTATAAGGATTTATAAAGGTTAATTCGATGGCCACTTTAGGGATCTAAATTAGAGGTACCATATGTCAGGTCTAAGGGCGGGATATCATCCCCAAAATATTGCCCTGAAATTCCGATTTTTGTTGAGGTTTTAAGCGTCAACACTGTGGGAAGAGAGTTGACAAATGATGGTTGATTGGTAAATAGGGAATGGATGGGCCTGGTTGATTGGTTATGAAATAGAGACTTATATGGGTGTTGATCATCAAACATGGAGATATAACATTATATTAACAGAAACATGACTGTTCATTGGTTGTTGCAACGTACTATACTACCTTGGCTGTTATCGGCTATCGGGAATTACACCACCTGGGTTCTTGTGGAGTATGAACTAACCTTGTGTTGTCGTTTTTCTATTTTTTAAAAACATATATGGTTGTGTTTTTTTGTTGTACAGTTTCTATTTTTTCCTTGATTTTGAACCTCTCTGAGGAATTATTATTTTTCACGAAACTCACCCATAGTAGGGAAACCGTTTTCAACCAAGTCGGATGATGATATGGGATAGTGGTACTTTCTGTGGCTCAAGTTTCACCAACAGAAAATGGGTTTTTAATCAACAGAAACGGGGATTTTAATCAACAGAAATGGGGTTTTATGCTGTAGTTGATATAGATGATTTAAATTGATGTATGTCTAAGTTTGGTATTTTACCAGCAACAAAGGCGATTTTCGATGACCCTGAACCATTGAGTTGAATACCACTTGGAGATGATTCATCCCAATTTGTTCATGCTCCAGCTCATGGAGATGACATTTCTTACTGGGTACATCCCAATTTCCGATGGTTGGATCTCCATGTTGGATGGTTAGATCTTGACAAAAAATCCCCATCAATCACCATTTTTGATTGACAAATCCCCAGATGTTCATGCCCATATGCTCCATGTATGGAATATTTACCTACATTTACACCAAAAATTGCCCAAATGTAGGTAAATATTCCATAAATGGAGCATATGGCATGATGAAATGAGCATTTTCCCCGCATAAATGCAGCAGTTTGGCCGATTTAACCCTACTGACAATCATGAACTCCGGCGTTGGCAGGTTGGGCGCCCAAGGGCGACGACGTGGTGGGTTCCACACGCAAGGCCTGCTGCGAGCCGGTGGCTTGCCCTTCAGGTGCGCGAAGCGACGGGAGATGGGCATTCAATGGGGCTTTCAGGGTGATTTAATGGGAGTTTAATGGAGGTTTAATGGGAGTTTAATAGGATATAAGATGAGAGATTCATGAATCTAATGGGATATATTTAAATTGATATATCCCATGTTATATCCCATTAAACATGTTAAATATATCCCGAATTCATGTTATATCCATATATTTAACGGATGAGCCGAGCCGAGAGAAATTGGGATGTCAGTGGTAAACGGGATGCCATGGGATAGCCGCAACGGTCAACGTTAGCGAAGTGAGCGAACTGGAAAATCACCATTTGGAATACCCGGCCTGGTAAACATACAAAAAACGGGAAATCACCATTTTATAGCTGGGAAAATCCACTACTTCTATGGCCATTTTCAATAGCTATGTTAAATTACCAGAGGGTAGGTTTTATTCAACTGTTTCAATGGGCCATATTTTCAATAGCAAACTGTTGACATAACCCGAGGGTATAACTATATAACTGGATAACATTTGGGTAAATTACAGGAGTTGCAACCCTTTCGACCGTGAAACTCTGACCGATGTTGGCGAGGAGGTGATTCTGGTCAGATATTATGTTCACCCTGGTAAATCTGCAGGTTTTTCGGGCCCAAAAAGTGCATATTTGGTGACTAATGATGATTAATGATGGTTAATGATGGTTAATGATGATTAATAGTTAATCGAACCTCCAATGATGGTTATGGTAAGAACACTAAAAGTCCACTCAAAGTGGATAGTAAGTAGTACCCCTGCAAAATCTGTTTGGGGACCTCCCCCAAAAGGCAACTTACCCCGAGAACTGTCGGGTTTATGCTTTGGATTTGTGAAGCACCAACCTACTTTGGGATCGCCGGGGCACTTAGGAACTTAGCAGGCACTTAGCTGGCACTTAGGTTTTGAGGTTGCTAAGTCCGGCTAAGTGTGAGCTAAGTGACCGCTAAGTGAAGCTAAGTGTTTCATATTTTTTTTGAAGGTTTTCGTGTTTGAGTGGTTTTTGCAATTTTTCATCAGTTAACATCAAGTCGCTTTCACACCTTTTTGTTACCGACCATTGTAGGGTCAGCGTAGAAGGCAAAGACCGTCTTTGTGTTCACGCAGCAATCGCATAGGCTCATGCTGCAGCAGCGTGGGTGCTGCAATGATTTTCTTTTCTCTGCTGAGGCGCTTCCATTTGAGAATGGATGCCTCGGGCATTGCTTGCAATGTGTGCACCACCACAGAAAGAGAATCTCCTTGTGCAAGGCCATGGATAATTTCAATGCTGCACGTAGCAGACATCTGCCGGATTACACTGATGCGAGGAAGCGAAATCACAACGAAACGCTCCAATGCCCGCGGACAAGGTCCCAATCATGCAATTTCATGCAAGTTCATGTCGCCGACATCCGCAGACAAACGGACTTACTACCCCATTACATTACATGGGCACTGCGGTCAACCATAGACAAACAGAGCCTCACCGGCCCTACCTTTTCCACCCGCGGTCAGCATCACGCGGACAAGTCGTCTGGGCTCTCTGAGACCGCGGTCACTCGCGCTCAGCTGCGGTCAGGTCGCGGACAAGTGCGCGCCTCCTCTAACAGCTTGCAAGCTCACCCTTCCTTTGTGCTCCTTGCGCCAGTGCCGCAACATCTTCTGCACCATTTCTGCAGACCTGCGGCTCCATTGGAACTCTCGCGCCCTGTTCCTTTTCATCGAGAAATGCCACGCCAATGTGCTTAAGAGCTTGCGGCAGGCAATGCAATCCTTGGGCAGCAGTGAAGGAGACTACCTTCTGCAAAGATCTTTGCACCCCTTGAGCCTGCTTGTCCCTGACCTCCGCGTAGGAGGCCAGGGACTGAATTCCACGTAGGAATTTCTGCGCGGCATCTATCTGCTTTTCAGCTGCCATGACTGGAACCAAAATTGCTGCGCAACATGACTTTTCCTGCGAGATTACCCAAGACAATCGACATATGTAGGTTTTGAAAAAAAGCTAAGTGATCGCTAAGTGATCGCTAAGTAACCAACACTTAGCACACACTACACTTATAAGTAACCTAAGTCAATAGTAAGTGCCACCTAAGTTTTGATCACTTAGCCATCACTTAACTAACATAGCCATCACTTGCCCAAAGGATAGATAACTTATAACTACGTTTACTAAGTGCCTAAGTCCCCGGCGATCCCAAAGTACCAATGGCATTTGTGTCGCATCGGCCCATGGGGGAGTCCCACAGGTGCCGGTGGCACGAGTGTCGCAGACGGCTGCATATGCAAGAAGGGTTTCTCTGGCAAGATCAGTCTGGGGCACCCAGTTGACAGCTGCTTGGGAAGCTTATTGTTGATCATAGGGAAAACCATAAAACAAGGCCTTGAATCAGCTTTTGAATTTAGTGAAGGTGTTTTCCAGGTTGATGCTGTTGTCCTTATATTTCCCCAGTTTTTAGCGGCGAAACATAACTTGAAATCATGGTGAAATAGTGTATACTGTATAACATAAAGGTGAGTGAACTCCAGACATGGTTAAGGGCGTTGTCCTCTGGTAATTTAGCATAGCTATGAAAAGTGTTCATATACATATAATCATTTACCCTCTGGTAAACTAACATAACTATGGAAAATCACCATTGTTAATGGGAAAATCCACTATAAATAGCCATTTTCAATAGCTATGTTAAATTACCAGAGGGTACCTATATCAAAGATGGTGATTTTCCACATCAAACTATTGGATTACCTTAAAATCTATGGAATGACGGTCACCGCGGGCAAGAGAAACATAAAACCATGGGTGATTTCGTTACCCTCTGGTAAAGTAACATAACTATGGAAAATCACTATTTTTCATGGGAAAATCCACTATAACTGGCCATTTTCAATAGCTATGTTAAATTACCAGAGGGTATACTGTACATGGAGATTGAGAGTTGACGAAGTTGACAAACGTTTATTTTCAAACGAGACATCTTTGCGAAGTTAGCTGAGCAAAGCTTGCATTCAATTTGTCATAGCAACTTTTCATGTCATGTAGTGTTCTGATTCAAGGGAAGTGGTGGGAGGGTATCTCCCTTTCGAGTTGCCTGAATTTTGGGCCCACCCACCACCCATGGCAACTAGGTTCACGGCTTACATTTCGCCGTGAGTCAAAATGGCGATTTGATCATTTCCATGCGATGCTGAAATCATTTGAATTCCATTGGGATTTCTGTTTCGTCTTCGGTGACTATCCGCAAAAACTATTTTTTTTTTTCTCTTCTGAAAAATGCGGGTAAACTAGTGCGGTCTTCACCAAATTTTGGTGAGCTGCCGCGAAAAAATCTTTGCGGTCAAGTGGCCCAAGTTCGTACGCCAAGCCCACGCGTGGACTTGGTGCGCGAAAAAGGGACAGAGGGACTTTGTGTGCGGATCTTTCATCAACTTCTTTTTGGGCAGGTAGTGCTTGAGGGTTCTTCAAGTCCGATCCACACACTGTGTGCCCGCCAGCGTCGACAGGTTTTTTTGCCATGCTGCACGGACAGCGGACGGGTGAACTCTTTAACCTGGTGAACAACTTCGTGATTTCGAATGTTGTTCTTGGCACAGAGACTGCGCCAGGCCATGTTACCATCGCTGAAGACACAAGTGCCTCGTTTTTGAATGTGCTTGAAAAATTCACACTCGTGGACCTGGTGCAAGTTCTCTGTCGGGGGACGCTCTCCTGGACAGGAGACAACTGGAGTGGGCAAAGCTACATCCGTCTACATGTGTTCTCTACGTGCTATCAAGGATGTTGTCGTCAGGACGTTAATAAACACCCCCACCCCACCCCACCCCACGTCATCAACGTAGCATCAAGAGCGTCTTCCAAGTTACTTCGACATGTGTTCTCTACGTGCTATCAAGGATGTTGTCGTCAGGACGCTAATACACACCCCCACCCCACCCCAGCGTAACCCCTCGAATGGTGAAAAAATGCATGTTTTACCACGGCGAATTATGCACCGTGGTCCAACTACACCTACTACTCTTGCGCTTGTTTGCCTCGCTCGCTTGCATACGCTTTGTCGCGAGATGATCTACCACACCGATGAGTTCATAGATCACTGTGAAACATTTCCTTTTCTGAGCAGAAACCTTCTAATGCAACTGAATCACTCCCGTGAAGGACTGGTTCAAACTGGACGAGCCATCAGCAATCAGATGGCCATTGTGCATAGAAGCATAATGCAACTCATGGTAAATGATGAATGGCACTGACCTCCAGGGCCTACCCAACCGTACAGTGGCAGAAGGCTGACAGAGATCAAGTGACATTCCCCTGTCTATACTGTACTCAAAAGCTGGCTAAGTTAGTTTCTTGTTTGTTTACCCATCAAACTACAGTTACAATACCAATATACACCATACAGTTAATAGAGGCGTAAACCAAGTACAGCTATCTAGGGAGCTCCTTAACCGGTTTGTCAGCAAATTCCATGTAACTTGACCATTCATACCCTTATGGACGATCATTGTAATATATTCATTGGTTAAAACCCTGTATTTTTCATAGTTAAGTCACCATATGCATTGGTTAAGTCACCATTACCTTACTGGTGCTTAGTAGGGAATGAAGGAATAGAATCATCCCATTCCCCCATTCCCATTCCCTACGAAGCACCAGTAAGTTATCCCATACAGTACCAATCCCATGGTAAGCCAATGGCTCATGGCTTCCAAATCCCCCACGTAAGGTGCCTCGAGGAGCAGCCCCTACTACACAGGGCCTGGGGAGCTCAGATCGATGCGATGGCAAAACAACATAGGGAAACCGTTGGAAAGCTTAGGAAACCACGGGGAAAAGATGAGGTTTAACCAACAAAAATAGTGATTTAATAGGTCTTATTTGGTTTTTTAGCTGATTGTTTATAGCTGGGTTGGAAGGGTGTAGGAAACCATAGGAAAAATTGTGATTGAACCAAGAAAAATATAGTAAAATGGAGATACAATGAAAATATCATAGGGATGAACATCTGGATGAATCATAACTATAACCTCACGTCGTTTTCCGTCACTGGAATGATGATTGGTGTTCGGGGAATCGTCCACAAATGACATTGTTTCAGGATGTTTCAGGTATTTTTGGTGAATTATTATACTTCAGCCAGAACAATGGCTAAATCTTATATAAATGCCATTGTTACAAGGTTTACGTCCCTATGCCTCACCAGATTTGACCCTAAAATCTTCACGTTTGTTCACCCTTTGGTATTCAAACGTGGCTGTGAAATCCCATGAAATCTCAATGGTAAATTATAACGACCTCACTGCGACCGAACCCTGGAATCATGGTTAAAAAATGTCAACAAGGGAAATCATCCCCAAATGGCCGAACTATTCAGGTTAGTGCAAAGATTGATTTTGTCCATTGTACGATGTTTGATTACCATTAACTGAGGCTAAAACATGTTAAACCCGCATTGTTCACAATGTTTGACGGTTCAATCCACCATGATTGATTAATCCACAGTCATCAAATCCCCATTGATTGCCATTCATTCATGATTAAATCATACAAAATTATAATTTATGTGTTTCATAGTTGTTGATTTTTTAAAATTTAAATGCCATTGAATCGCATCAACCCCCATGAAAATCCCGTGAAATCACCATCAATTCCCATTGAAACACCATCAAATAACCATTGAAATTTCATGAATTCCCACTAAACACCATTAAAAAACATTAACCCATCATGTTTTTGTTCTCCCCCATCCCAGTTGCATCGCTCCGTATATGCATCGCTTCCAAGGTCCTGTAGCTCCGTGGATTGCCCCGCCAACTCGGAAGGCGCCAACGTGCCAGCGGGATGCCTTTGCGAAGCGGGCTACAGCGGCACCATTGAGGACCGGAGGGATGCGATGGTGGGATGCGATGGTAGGGGATGAGACACTTGAAGCAACAAACAGACATATAAATACCGTATTTGATGGTGAATTGATGTGAATTACACAATGAAAAAAAGTTTTGGGCATCCAAAGATATCCAAAGTATGAGACCGCGGTGATTTAGCTCCCAAAAAATGAAACGTAGGAACAATAAAGATCTAGAGATTCAAACATCAAGATGTTTTGGAAACGTGATAGTTTTACCATACAAAACATCAACACAAGGTGTTGAGTAGCGGGTGCTCGGCAGTGAAAGGTTTGTTGGTTTATACATGTTTAGGTTCACACCATTAACTACTTCAATATATAGGGGTTCTTAGAATGGTCCCCAAAACAATGGGGGTCAATACGAAAATTGTCTACTGTAATTTTGGATAATTTGGGTATTATTTGGGGTACCCATTTGAGGAAAACTCCATCAACCAGAAATCAAATTCACCAAGCAACAAACCAACTTGTTATCGACTGGGGAGCATCTTGTAACCATCCATGTTGGTCCAAAAAATCAGGGATAATTTATGCAGGACATAAAATCATGGGGAAAGTTATCGTGAATGATTTGGGATGTTGGGGTACACCATTTTGAGACTCTGTTTCGATTTTTGTTTGGGTGTTTGGCACTTAGATTACTTATAGCAATAGCAACCTCCGAAAAGATAGAAAAGTAATTCCTCACCTGATTAGTGGTTTGGAACATGGCTTTTATTTTCCCCAATAGTTGGGATGATGACCAAATCTGACTTTCATATTTTTCAGGGGGGTAGGTATACCACCAATTCCTCACGATTTTAACACGTTCAACGGGGATCTAGCCTCTAGTAAACGTTTACATAACTCTGGAGAATCACCATTGTTAATGGGAAAACTAACTATTTCTATGGACATTTTCCAGTTCGCTATTTTGTCATAACCAGAGGGTACTTTCGATCTTTTTTGGGATGCCTACCTACCCCTGGGATCCCTGGGTGATTTGTAAAGGCCACTCGATCTGCACCTTTCTACAAGGGCGAATGTGCTGCTGTTGCCTGTCCTGCCAACTCGGCTGGAAACGTCGCTTGGCGCGAAGATGCGTATAGAGTTTGCAGATTTCAGTGAATTTCAACCAGATTATAGTGATTAATAGTGACTAATTAATTAATTAATAGTGATTAATAATGGTGATTAATGGTGACCAATGGTGATAAATAATGATTAATGGTAACTACTGATTAATGGTGATTAGTGGAAAATGATCCACAAATCTAGGTCAATCGACTGGATGGGTAGAAACTCATCCGCTGAATCGTCTTTTGGTATGGGTTTATCTACGTTCACCAGCTAAGAATGTGTCATGTTTTGCAAGGTATCTAGGATTGGCCATAAGTGGTTTGAAACAGAAATCATGATCTACCAATCTCCCAGTCATTGAAATGAGTACCCTCTGGTAAACGTGTACAGTTTGCTATTGAAAATGGCCCAGTCGAAATAGTTGATTTACCCAGCTATAAAATGGTGGATCTTTCCATAGTTATGTAAACGTTTACCAGAGGGTAAAGCTGGCATCAATCATTGCATGTCATTAAAGTGAATCCTGGTTGGTGGTTTGGAACATGGCTTTTATGACTTTCTATATATTGGGAATGTCATCATCCCAACTGACGAACTCCATCTTTTTTCAGAGGGGTAGGTATACCACCAACCGGAATATATTATCAACCATCATTAGCCATATATATTTACCATCATCATTAACCATATATTAACAGTATATTAACCACAATGGTAGGTCAACCATCAACCAGAATCTCGTACCTGATTTTGTGAGCCATGCTGTGATCAAATTGTAGCATGGGCTGCCAGGCTGTGCCCAAACAAAGGGATGGATCGATGTTCGAATGTCCGTGTTTACCAGTAACTAGCAACGATGATATTCCCATTTAGAACATCCACAAAATGGTTGATTCCTATTTTCACACTATGGGTATGTGTCGAAATTGATCAAAATTGGATACTGTACCGACTGCACCCCAATAATTGAATGGTTACTGCAATGTTAAACCATAGACTAAAATCTCTGGTCCCCCAGGTATTCACTTTTGATCCACGTCCATATATTCCAAACAAATTCCTATTATCACAATATTATTCGATTGTATGATTCTTATTGATAATTGATAATCAAAGATTATAGATTATGGGTAAAGATAACGAATACCATAATAAATTGCCCGTAATCTATGACCTTTGACTAATAAGACATATTCAAGGATATTATCATAGATCATAGTAAATAGATTCTTATACATATATATATACATCAATATGTTTAATATGCAGAATCACATAGATTCAATAGATCATCCATGTGATAACCATATATTATATATTATATAGCTATACCCAAGAATAACATCCATAAATTATAGAACATAGATTAGTTATAGTACATTGATTGATTTTGATTATTCTTTGATCATAAATAGATTAGATCGAAACATACATTGATGATTTAAGATCAAAATAGATGTTATTAATCTTTGGTTACTATATTGATCTTACATAGATAATTACTATTATTGATTAATTGCTATTATTGATCTTTGATAATAAATTGAACAACCTACAATGTGGGGCCCCCCAGTGATGTTTGTTGGTTTATAAGCCCCATTAACTAGTTCGTTATATGTGCCATAAACCATAGTGAAATTGGACTTATAAACCAACTTAGCTAACGAACTGGGGCACCACCTTGTAATAAATTGAACAACCTATCCATCCCAAAAAAAACATCGCCAAGAACGTGGCCAGCGGCTGTTTGTGCGTGGCCGGCTTCAGCGGCGCCATCGCAAAGGCCTCCAAAGATCCGCTCCTTGGCCGAGCATCGGGAGTTCTCGGTGATTTCATTGGAAAATTACAGGGGTTGGTAACTGTCCCATTTTGGGAATATAAAGGACATCACCTTATAGTAGCCATTATAGACCATATATCTAATGGTTGGGTGATGTGACCCATGGGGACATTTAATGACCCATGAATTATGGAACATTATGGAACATCATACAAGGTGGTGCCCCAGTTCGGAATCGCTAAGTTGGTTTATAAGTCCCATTAAACCTATGGTTTATGGCAGATATAACGAACTAGTTCATGGGGCTTATAAACCAACAAACATCACTGGGGGGGCACCATCCTGTAGGAACACGATAGGAAAAAAATGATAGGAACATGATAGGAAAATGATGGAAAAGTGGGATTTGAACCCCAAGAAATGGAGTTCACCCCAAGACTTCGAAAGAAGGAAAAATGATGTGTTTTTTTTTTCCGGGCCGAACATGGCGATGTGAGCGTCAATTGATAGTTGAAAGATGGGATGTATATATTGACCATCAACAGTGGTGGAAACAAGCCTCCAAACTGGAAACTGAAACAAAGCGCGGACAGGTAGCCCATGTTTGATTCATAATGGCTGATACCCATATGAAATATGTATTACACCGGGAAGGAGAATATGTAGATAGTAGTCAGAATTTCTGATTCAAATTTAGTTCGATGTACCATGGTTCATTCATGTTAGTTCACCTAGTGATTCATATTGGCAACAGCTCTGTTATCTATAGGGTTCCACCTGGAAGGAAAACATCCACAACTAATCTGGGCTAGCAGTTGTCTGGTTGGTGGTTTGGAACATGTTTTATTTTTCCATGTATTGGGAATTTTCATCCCAACTGACTTTCATATGTTTCAGAGGGGTAGGGCTGAACCACCAACCAGTTATTGTCGTGAGATCTACAGCGCAGTTGTAGGTGTTCTTGGGCCCTGGGCCATGGCTCTCAGAGACTCAGTCAGTGGGAATTGCAGGACTCAAGGACTCCAGGGCCCTAAAATAGAGGCACTGTATATTTCCTAAAATGGGGGTATTCCTAAATTCATCCATTTTTACAGATTTTCCTCTAGACACTTTTTTTTTGGGGGGGGGGGATCCCGCATTTGAAGAAACCTCCATATAAGCAGTTGCGGGGATATTCCATGAAAATTAACATGCGTAGGCCTCATGTATAGTAGGTGCCTCCAATAAATCGTCCCTGAAATGGCCAGTGAATTCTTACCTTCTTGTAAACTAGGTCAATCTTACATGGATACAAACTAATCCTAACTAGTCTTTTGGGAATGGGAATATCCACGTTCACCACGTTCACCAGCAAAGAATTTGTCATTTTTGCAGGGTAACAAGTTTTCCCCCCAGGACTTGATCTTGAAATGGTGGATCCATTTTTATGGCGCGAGCCGCCCAATAGCTGGTTTATACTGGAAGACTAAGACTTTAAGATCCATGGAACTATGAAAAAAATGATGATTTTTTGGGGGTACCCCCATGATTCAGGAAACCTGGTGAACCTGAGGTTCTACACCGGTTCCTGTACTGCCGTGAAGTGTCCGGACCACAGTAGTGGCACGGATCTGCCCACGGGATGCAGCTGCAATGCAGGGTACCTTGACGACACATGCGGATCGGGAAGCTTCGCTGGGGGGCGGGACTGGGATGTTCTTCACATTTTTTCACTACCCTCTGGTAAACATACAAAAAAACTATGGAAAGTCACAATCTTTAATGGGTAAATCAACTATAAATGGACCATTTTCAATAGCCATGTTAAAAAATATATATATATTATATAATGGTGGGATAATATTCATAGATATATCATGATATATCTATAGTAGATATTGGTGATTTTTTGGGATGATGTGAAACAAATCACCATGGTTAATAGGTAAACCAAGGAACATCACCATTTTTAATGGGTAAATCCACTATTTCTATGGCCATTTTCCAGTTCGCAAACTGTTGACATAACCAGAGGGTATTTCACCCGTCGAAGATTGGGAGCTCAGCATTCCAAAAAATGGCGAATCGGAAAGATTGGGAACTGAGTTTCTAAGTACCCTCTGGTAAACTAACATAGCTATTGAAATGGCCATTTATAGTGAGTTTTCCCATTAATAATGGTGATTTTCCATAGTTATGTTAGTTTACCAGAGGGTATATGGAATGTTGATGGATGTTGAACTTCCAATATCCCAAGTATAGTCCCAAGTACTATAAGAGACTTCTTTGTATATACAAACATCCCAACAAAGAAGTTGGGACTATATTTTTTGATATTGTCAACAGACTGATAATATGATACATATTTTGGTGTGTTTGAACATGGGGCATGTCCCACAAAACTCTCTTTGTGTGCGGGGAAATCATGATTGACATAGTTTTGTTTTTGTTTCACACAAGGTGGTGCACCATCTAGAGATAGCTCTATATACAGTACCTACCATACAATACACCATGGAATTCAGCTAGTTATAGAATGTTATAAACCAGCTTGGCTCTCGTTTGGGGACACAACCTTGTACCTTGGGAATCTAATGTGAGAATGTCACTGAACTGCAAGTAGTGTATTTGCAACAAGTAATCCCACCCCCACAATATGAAGCACTTCATACATAGTCCCCAATAACATCACTAAACCGTGGTTTCTGGGAGGTGTTTAGTATTCAGCGATGGGGATTAGAAAGGAAACTGTGGTAACCTTTCAAGATAGCCTTGCAAAAAAATATATAGATAATGTATGTATATATAAATAAATAGATAGATAGATAGACAAATAAATAGATAGATAGATAGATATATATATATATTATGTTACATATATATATAATACATTTAATCGGGATCAATTGGGACAACGAGAAACGCTTGGAACATGAGGACTATCAATGGGTGTATTCCTGATCGCTGGGGTTTTCTGTGGAAACAGAGCCATCCCCCGAATTCTCCAGAAGCCTTGGAAGACGGTAATTTCATGTGCAACTGCCATGGGCACCCCAAAGCAATTAAGGTTTCCATAAGTGGTGGTACCCCAATAGCTGGATAATTTATATATCATGGACAATCCTATTAAAATGGATGATTTGATGGTACCCCTATTTTAGGAAACCACCATGAATCATGTGCCTATGATTTGAATGGGCTACAAAGCGCTCAAAAACCGCATGGCTTGGTGTATTCTTTGCCATCCCGAGGAGGATTTTTTTTATGCAGGATCATCCCACGGCTCGCTCATCCATCAACAAAGGTAAACCATCAACAAAAATGGACCATGTTCATCAATTTTCCAGTTCGCAAACTGTTAATTTACCATCTTGGGTTTTTATGGGTAAATCCACTACAAATCTAGGTCAATCGACTAGATGGGTAGTTTTACTACTCCGCTGAATCGTCTTTTGGTATCAATGGGATTATCTACTTACCAGCTAAGAATTTGTCATTTTTTGCAGGGTATCTGGCTGATTGGCCATGGTACTGTAACTGGTTGATAGGCCTGGTTGTTTCACTCCCCTAACTGGGCCATGTTGGTACTGCTGCGCTTTCTGTGGAAACCAAGGTATTCAGGCACCATCACTGCTGCGACTTGGTACTACTGGGTAGGGCTGATGGTCACAAAGCTCCAATTTGGAGGGTCTATACCACCCATTTGTGGTGAAGTTGGGATGTACTATTTGGCTTCATTACGCACAGTGTATGTTTATGAACCTATGATCCACCAACAAGCCTTCGAAGCTACGTGGGTAGCTAACCTCGTGGCCGCTGGGCGCCAGTTGGTGTAGCAGAAATGGTCAAGATGGAG